CACAGGGGGGATCTTAAGCTCATTTTTCCTGCAGTCTTTGACCCATGGGTACATGTGTCACCAATGGTGCCACCACCACCTTGAACCTCAAGGACAGGAGTACATCCCATTACTGGCTGCCCCAGAGAGGAAGAAAGAGGGGGACACGGGCTGTTCCTGTCCCAGAAAGATCAGCACCCTTGTCCATCCCATGACTTGATTGGATATCATGGACTCCAGCTGGGTCTTTGCACAGAAGTTACTGTGGGAAATGGGGTCACATCTAGAGATACAGCATGGGGAACACCAGGGGGGCCATGGTGGGGTTGGCAAGGACAGAGCTGACCATGCCCTAGGAACACCAGTCCCTCCAGGCAGGAGAACGGGGGCTGATGGGGACAGAGGTCCCACCTGCCACCTCTGCAGCTCCTGCTGGCCACCAGCCAGGGGCCAAAGCCAGGCTCCCCCGCACGTCCAGCACTGCCTGTCAGCCTGGATTAGGGAACAAGCCCATGAAAGGAACAATATCCAGGTCACCTCCATGACATTGGCTTTGGGAAATCACTATCGGCTCTACTGGGGCATGTGTGCTGCAGATAACAGCACAAAGGAGGCGTTGAGTTGGCGAATAATTCCCAAGGGCCAAAAGTTGGGCATTGGACGGCACATTTGGATTAGTTATTGAAATGCAAAGTGCTCCTTTGAAGCAGCTCTAATCCATCCTGGCAGAGAGCAGCAGTGAGACCTGGGCACCTGTGGCCATGCCAAGGCACTCTTGGCTCTACGGAGCAGGGAAAGAGGAATTTCTCTCCACCTTATCCCTGGGCTACCCCCCAACACGTCGCTCACCAGGACACACTGATGAACCAGAGCTGGGACAGGAGGGACATCTTCATGGTACTTCTCCATGGGATGGGGACCCGGACTCCTGGTCCTGCCCTGGCTCCACAGGATGGTGCCAGTTACCTGATGGCTCTCATGGGCTCTCATGGATGATGTTGCAGGGATGAAGCAAGGAAGGAAAGTGACACCACCCACTTCCCCAACCTTCCAGGGCCTCAGAGAATCACCAAACCCAACAGCCACCACCTTTGTCGTTGCAGAAGCAGCTCCTTTTTTTACCTAAAAGGTTTTTTTACCTAGAAAGGGCAATTCATTGTCCTGGTGGGGAGCAGGGCTCCAGGGAGCAGGTGCTGTTTCTCTCTTCATTACAGACCAGTGGTGGAATGATGGCTTTCATAAAACCAGGGGGAAAGGCTTTTTCATCATTAGCAGCCAGTGACAGCGAGTGCCCAACGAGCTGTGGCTGAAATAGAGCTTGGGAAGAGCGAGGCTCCAGCTCTGGTGGGGAGGGGACCACGGGGAGAAGGGTGACCACACATGGAAGAAATCAAAAGCAGCTCTGGATGGACGAGCCACCAAGCTGGTGGCCAGTGCTGGGGCCAGGCTGTCTGCTGCAGGGGAGCTGGGGAAGCCAGATGGTTGGAGCCACACAGCAATAACCTTATAGAATCAAAGAATCATAGAATGGTTCAGGACCTTAAAGCCCATCCAGTTCCAATCCCCCTGCCCTGGGCAGGGACACCTCCCACCACACCACGTTGCTCCAAGCCCCCTCCAACCTGCCCTTGAACCCCTCCAGGGATGGGGCAGCCACAGCTTCTCGGGGCAACCTGGGCCAGGCTCTCACCCCCCTCACACCAAACAAGTTCTTCCCCACATCTCAGCTCCATCTCCCCTCTTTCAGGGTCAAACCCTTCCCCCTCCTCCTATGGTTCCACTCCCTGATCCAGAGCTTTTCTGGAGCTCCTTGAGGGACTGGAAGGGGCTGGAAGGCCCCCCAGAACCTTCTCTTCTCCAGACTGAACCTTCCCAACTTTCTCAGCCTGTCCTCACAGGAGATAACCTTGCAGAAGGCCATCTTGCCCTTATTTTTTAGAGATGCAAATTTATCAGAAGTTTTCCACGTTTGTTTGGTTTCAGCGTTGTTTTGGTTTTGGTTTTTTTTTTGCACAGTCACCACCAGCAAGCGGGAAGGGAAAGGAATAGCAGCAGTGGGACATTGCTGATGGCTTGGGGGCTACAGCTTTGCTGGGAAGCTCCTCTGGTGTGGAGACCCTCCCCAAGCAGGAGCTGATGTCCTCAAAGAGCCCCAAGCCCCCCCAAACCACTAGAACAGGGCACTGGCAGTTGCAGGGGCCAGCTCAGCTCATGTCCCCTGGCACCGACGGCCACTGCTCAAGGCCACCCTGCCCTCCAGGACAACACCACAGGGCTTGGGGACAAGCAGCTCAGACCCAGGGACACCCCTGCCAAGGGCTGACACCACACACCCAGAGAGCCCTTCCCCTCTTTCCCTTGATTTTAATTTGCATTATCTCCCTTTTTATTATTTATTGGTAAAATGTAATTACCGCATCCTTCACGAACCATAATTAAAGATGAAAAACAGTCCCGACAAGTCAATTAGATTTTTTTTTTTTTTTGCCTTGGTCTCCATTAAATTAAGACTCAAGTGTTACTGGAAGTGTTTAATATCACAACACATTAAACTGAAGGCCACTTTGTAATAAATAAATCACCGAAGACAATCCAGGAGCTTTCTTCTCCTGGAGGCTTTTCTTACAATAGGATTTCATTTTCCAGCTGGGAAATGCTCTCAAAGAGTTTCTTCTTCCTCCGTTAACACCTTTTCCAGTAATGGCAAACTTCCATCAGAAGTGTTGCATGAAGCTGTGGACGTTCAACCTCCATCAAGCACGAGGCAACTCCAGCTCCTCTGCCTGGTGATGGCTGAACATGGCTCCTCAAGGCCACGAAGGTTTTACAAGTCCTGGAGTTTGGCCCTGCAAATGTGCTCCCCCAAAATACCCTGGAAAAGCAAGATATGGCCAATACTGAGGTTTTTTCTACAAGCTGCCCTGTGGGTATCACCATCAGGGTTCCCTGAATCCCAGCTCCTGATCCACAGCCAGGGAAAGAAATCCAGAGGCCATCACAAATTTGGAACATTTATTTATGCAACCGATTTTCTTCAAAGGAAAGAAAGCAAAAAAAAATAATAATAATTAAAAAAACCCAAACAAACAGTTAACAACAGCTGGATGTGCGTGGTACAATCCACATTGGACGTGTCCCTCCTTCACCATCCCTCCCTCGGTCCCACCACACCTTCCCCCTCCACGGTGAAGCCACTTCGTGGTACCAGTCCCTTTGGCAGCAACTCTTGGATGCTGCCAGTTTTCAGGGTCACTTTTTCTGCATAAAGACAAAATCATTCCAATTTGGTGTTTTTTCTCGGGTCTAAATTATTATTTTGTGTGTGTGTGTGGTTGTTTCTTTTTCATTAAAAAAGGGTCTAAATTATTATTTTGTGTGTGTGTGTGTGGTTGTTTCTTTTTTATTAAAAAAGAAAAAAAAAAAAAAAGCACCACTCCAATCTGTAATACCAATAAACATTATCCATCTTAAGAACAGTATTTAAATTTTTATATATATATTTCTATATATATATTTCTATGTACAGGATGTCCTTGCCTCATGTCATATGAGCATCTCAGGAGGAGTTGGGAGATCGGTTGATTTTTATAGCACTTTGATTTCAAAGTCTGCCCTTCAGAAGAGATGCCCTAAAAAAACAGAGATGGAAGGAAATACTTTAAAAAACCCAAAAAACCTCGCTTTTGAAACATATATACAACTCCTCCAGTCTCTGTTGTCTCAGTAGGACTAAATGGGGTCTCAATTTTCCTTTTTTTAAATAATTTCTGGCAACATTTTACCTGCGATGCAAATGGGGGATGCTCCCTCCCTCTGGACCGGAGGGAGGATGCAGGTGGCCCAGGCTCCCAGGAAGGGCTGGGATGAAGCGGGACCATCCATGGTGGCACCACCATCCCATCCCTGGCAATTCCAGAGGCTCGGCTCAGCTGTTTTCATCCAAAACCAAACAATTTCTGCACCCTCGGCCCTCTCTGCACCCATCACACAGCACCTTCCCAGACCAGCATGGACACGTCCACAGAAAGATGGGGGTTGGGAAAAGGGCACTAATTTACTCCAAGTCAAGGCTTGCGATGCGAGTACTGGTGTTACCAAAAGTACTGGTGGAACTGGACCGTTTTGCAGGCTCTGGTGGGGTAAAAGGACTATTTGGTCACGAGACAGCTTGGGCACAGGGCAGGGTCAGACAGCAGGGATGGAAATGTTGTATAGCCCTTGGAATCGGTTATTATCAGGCCGCGTTAATTGTTCAGCGAGCACATGGGAAAGCCAAATGCCTGGGAAAACCCCCCTTGACGCTGCTGAAATCCCAGTCACTACTCCCAGGTGTTCGCAAGGTGGGACATCCTCCAAGGTGGAGAGAGATTTATCTTCTTGTTCTCCTCCACCCTTGGAAAGTGGATGGAAATATCTCCAGGGTTTGATCATCCAGGGCGCAGCCGTTTTGGCTCCACGGCCTTCGTGCTGCAGATCGGTCCAGCCAAACGGCATCTTCCAAAGCCTTTGGTCATGGTATGGATCTCCCCAGGGAGAGGGATCCCCAGCCTCTGGGCAGGAAACTGGAAACTTCCCTTGCCCTGGAAAGATGGGGCTGAAGGACAGGGGAGGATGAAGGATGGAGGAGCTGAAGGATGGGGGAGGATGAAGGATGGAGGGGCTGAAGGATGGGGGAGGATGAAGGATGGAGGGGCTGAAGGACATGAGAGGATCAAGGATGGAGGGGTTGAAGGACGGGGGAGGATGAAGGACCATGGAGGATGAAGAATAGGGTTGCCCACATGCAACCTCCATATGGAGGACAGTGTCTCATCTGTTCTGCTCCCTCCCCGAAAAAAATGACTGTGAAGGGTTCTGCCTGGCCCTCAAGACAGAAGCCACCTCTCCTTGGTTCCTTGAGTCTCCAAGGCAGAGCCCAGACCTGCATCCCTCTGGTTGCATCTCCTCGAGGCCAACTGGAGGGAGAGAAAACCCTGACCACAGCTTGATTACAACCAGGTTCTCCCCTGAAAGCAGATTCTGCTCCCTCCCCGAAAAAAATGACTGTGAAGGGTTCTGCCTGGCCCTCAAGACAGAAGCCACCTCTCCTTGGTTCCTTGAGTCTCCAAGGCAGAGCCCAGACCTGCATCCCTCTGGTTGCATCTCCTCGAGGCCAACTGGAGGGAGAGAAAACCCTGACCACAGCTTGATTACAACCAGGCTCTCCCCTGAAAGCAGAAACCCCTGTAATTATCACAATACTGGACAGAAAAAGTGACATCTCAAACCCAATCAGAGCAGGAAGAAGCCAAAACTATCAGGCACCCTCAATCACCATCCCTATACGCTTGTCCCTGGGTGGTACCAGGGCCATGGAGAACTCCTCATGCCCAGCCCTGAAGTGTTGCCACGGCTCAGGGCTTCAGTACAGCCCACCCCACGCCAACACCATCACCAAAACCCACCGTCCTGCTTTGCCAAGCCCAGCAAAAGCCAAGCAGCATCAATGGGCAACTGGCTGGGAGCAGCATCCAGGAGGCAAATGGGATGGACCCAAATTTTGGAGGATTTTGTTTCTGGTGTCTCATGTGCAGTGATTCACAAGGGAAGGGTTAAAAACGGACCCAGGGGCTGTTGCCTTTGGGTCAGCCCAGGAGGAATTAAGTGCTACAGATGGAGAAGACAGTGCGGAGAAGCAGGGGAACCATCGCTTGGAAAGCTTTGCAAAGGCGTCAGGAGGGATCCAGGTTGGTCCCTGCAGATGGACATCGCATGCCCAGTGCCTTCCATGTCCCACCATTGTCCCATGTCCCCGCCTTGTCCAGGGCTGGATACACAAAAAGGTCGCAACTCACAGAACTGAAAAAAACGAAGATCAAACTCATGGTGCGAACGAGCAGAAACTCAAGAGCTTCTCTCAGGGTCTTTGCTCCAGCTCAGAGCATGTCCCCACCAAGGACGAAACCTGCGCCGGCAGCCATCTGGGCTCCTCAGAAGAGCAGCTTCGATTCCACACACAATTCAGAAAGCAACGTTTCTTCTCCAAATATCCATCCTTCCCTGCTGGGAAACGGCCTCGGCTCCTTCTGTCCTCCTCCTCCTCTCTCTGGCCTCCTCTCCAGCTGCTTCAGAGATGCCCAGGCAGCGCCGCGGGGCCACATCCTCCTCACACCCACCCCACGACCGTGACTCAAAGCGATGCAGGGACGGGACAGGACAAGTCGTGGCATCCGACCTACGGCCGCTCGGACACGCTCGGGGCAGGAAGGAAAGATGGAGAGCGGAGGGTGAAGACGGGGAGCGGCCCACACGTCCCCACGTCCCTTCGTTTTTTCTCGATCGGATGGGTTGTCTCGTCAGGTCCTTGGCTGTTTCCCCTCCTCACCTTCAGCACTAACGCAACGTCCGAGTGCGAAACGCACGGTTGGCACGACCCCCGGGCAAGCCCTTGCTGCCGCGCTGCTGGCGAGGTGCTATCTGGTCTCCAGGGACTCCAGATATTCCAGTGCTATGTCATAGCAAAAATGATACTGCTCCTGTTCGGAGAGAGAAAAGAGGGTGTTAGAGAATCACAGAATCACAGAATCGTAGTGGTTGGAAGGGACCTCAGAGATCATCGAGTCCAATCACAAAAAAAACAAAAACAGAAACAAAAACAAACAAACAAACAAAAAAAACCCAAAAAAACCAACAAACAAACAAAAAAACAAAAACAAAAAACAAACAAAAAAAACCACAAACCACCACCCACCCCCTACACAACAACAACCAAACCAAAACCATCACCCACCCACACAACATCCCACCACAAACCAATAATCTTGGGCACTAGAGCATGCCCTGAAGAGCCACGTCTACACGTTTCTTAAATACCTCCAGGGATGGTGACTCCACCACCTCCCTGGGCAGCCCATTCCAATGCCTGATAACCCTTTCAGTAAAGAAATGTTTCCTAATATCCAACCTGAACTTCCCCTGGCGCAACTTGAAGCCATTACCCCTTGTCCTATCGTCTGTAGCTTGGAAGAAGAGACCAACCCCTCCGGAATGGTTTGGGTTGGAAGGGACCTTAAAGATCATCCAGTCCCACCAGACACCTCCCACCAGACACCTCCCACCAGACACCTCCCACCAGACCAGGTTGCTCCAAGCCCCCTCCAACCCCCTCCAACCAGCCACAGCTTCTCTGGGCAACCTGGGCCAGGCTCTCACCACCCTCAAATTGAAAAATTCCTTCCTAATATCTAATCTAAATCTCCCCTCTTCCAGTTTGAAGCCGGGTGTGGGATTACTGGAGACGCCCTGCCCCAGCTGCCAGGACATTTCTCATCACAAATTCTCCCACTGCAGATAAAAAAAAAATGCCCTCTTCCATCCCTGGCAGGGATTTGGTCTGGGCGTTTGCTTTGCGTTGGGAGGAGAGACAGGAAGGGAAGTCCTAGGAGCTTTCACTTCCGAAAAATCCACATTTTCCAAGGGAAATGCCAAAAAAATGAGCATTTTGGTGCTCAGGTCAAAGTCTAACCCATCTGCCCGTCCGGAGCTAAGGGGTGTGGGTGGCAAAGGTCCTCTCAAAGCCTGAAGCAGGATCAGGCTCATTATCCCACCCTTTCTCTTTCCTGAGAGCACTACAGACAGTATCAGCATCTTCCCACCCTTTGCTAGCCCCCAGCTGTGCAAAGGGGAAGGCCAGCATGGCTGGCTCCTGGTTTTATAGCAAAAATCACTGAAATTGGGCTTGCAAAAGCAGTCTCCTCCATCCTTGTTCTCCTTTACATAACCTGTTCTTGTGGTCTCCTGTCCTTGTCCAACTCACAGCACAGAAACCTACAGGGGAGCTCGGACCTTGGAAGTGTCCACCCCCATGAGATGTTGCTCCTTCGAGCATCCAACAAGCGAAAACCAGCCAGAGTGGGGGTAAAAAAACCCCAAATCAGGTTTCTGATGTTGCTGGAAGCACTGGGACATTGTGGGAGCATCCTGGGTGGCACAGCAGAGAGGGAAAGGGGAGAGAGCTCATCTCCTGAAATCCTCATCCGCAGCTTGAGCACCGGCATGAAAATCCTGTTATCCCCCCCGAGGGTGGGCGGCTGCTCGGGGACCCCAGGTGGGAACAGGCAGTGGGGGAGAAGGGTTTCAAAGCCAGGAGGGCTGTGACGGCTTAGATTAAAAGCACATAATGCTTTTTGGATTAAGAAAAGGGATTGTTTCCATTTATCATCATATAAAAATAAACCCCACAGGGAAACAGAGGGGGAAGATGCTCGGGCCGTGGGGAAGTGCTATATTCTGGCTGCTCTCCACTGGGCTGTGGCTCTTTACACTGGGCGAGGATCCGGCCTCCCAGTGACTCCAGTAGATTGGGATTCCCAGAATAGACTGTTCAGGTTCATTTGAGGCTGGAGGACGCTTGTGTCCTGATGTTGATGAAATGTTGCCTTTTTTTAATACCTTTGCAATTTAGCCCAATGGGTCCAGCAGCTTCATGCTTGTCACATCATCTTTCCATTATCTGCATCCCTCCCTCTGCTCCCCGTCCCCTCCCTCACCTTCTCCTCCACCTCCGTTCCTAATGCAAATCACATCCCCTCCTCAAAACCATTTCATTTTGCAACTTAGGGATTTTATAATCCAAACAGGGCAAACATTTCCGGCTGACTTGCTTTTAAAACATCACTAGGCACCTGGATTCCTCCACCACAGGGACAGACACGCACCTGCTCCATCCCCTGTCCTGTTATCGGGGGCCTGAAATAGGGCACAGGCTTTTGTACCCTGACCCACTGCCACCTCCAGCCTCCCCATCGTGAGATGTGGCTCCATCACTGCCCCCGGCAGCTTGTCCGCCAATTAATTTCACTCAAAATGCAGCTCCCTTTTTCTATTTCCAACAGGAATTTGTCTGACTCCACCTCGGAGCTGCTCTGAAGAACTGCAATTACATCCCGTGAATTAATGCGAACCTGCTTTATTACTCCTGGGAAGGATTTCCGACAAGCCCAACGCCGACGCCAAGGGCATGTCAGCACGGTGAGATGAAGGCAAGCCTGAGGCTCCTTTCAAGAGCTGCCTCACCTCTGCTCTGCATGAAGATTTCCATAATACTAATCAGGATTTGGGGTGGGGAAGGAGGTTTTTTGGGGGCGAGCATCCCCCAGGACCTTTCCTCCCTGCCGGAGGGAACAGCAGCCAGGGTGGACGCCGGCGGGGGCTGATGCTTACCAAGGTCTCTACCATATTTGGCTTGTAGTTGCGGAGGGTCTTTGCAGCATAGAAAACATCTGCCATGTTGTGACACTTGATCATCTCCAGGATCATGGTGGAGGCACAGAAGGTGCCGCTCCGGCCACCTCCATTCCTGGCGGGAGAAACACGTGGTGGTGGTGAGAAGATGGCAAGTGGAGTATCTTCCTGCTTCCTCTAATTGCCCCCTTCTCTATCCATCCCTGCATCCCAGGAGATGTCCCAGAGCAGGGGCTCATACTCCAGTGTCCTCCCAGACTGGGGGACCTGAACCAGCCCCACATGATGGCAGGAGCTGTGATCCTGCTCTCTAGTTCTCATGAGAGCATGAAAACACCTTTTTGGACTATCAGGGCTGGATCTTGGACATCGGGGCTCAGTTTCCAGCCCTGCCATGGATCGATTCCTCATGTGACCCTGGGGAAGCCACTGTGTCCCTCTACCACCCTCTTCCCACCTGCAGGATGACCTGTTGGGTAGTGCTGGCTGGAGGAATGATGCCAGTTCCACCCAGCACACAGCTCACTGGGTACCTCCCTCCACCCTGTGCTGAAACCATCCCAACACCACCACATCTCATCCCTGGCAGCAAAGGGGATGGGGGAGAGGAGGAGAGAACACGATGGCAGTGTTTTATAAAGCATGTTCTCAAATTATCCTTCGGCTAATGAAGACAGACGAGGCTGTAATTAATTTTTGATTAAAGGCTCGCCTGCTGTCTCTACCAATCTGCGAACGTGTTAGGTCCCATCCAAGGAGAGCACACACGGGTGTTTGTGGGAGCCAAACCCAGCTGGGAGGAGGGGGATGGAGAGCACGTCCACCTCCATGAGAAGCAAGTGGTGGGAGTTGCACAGCTCCTGCCACGTCCTTTTAGAGCCTGCCACACGCACGGGCATGGTGACAGGGCTGGGACCTCTGCTGAGCCCCTCTGCACCCCCAGAGTGAACAGTGGGGATGCTGCTACTGGGTGTCACTCCCATTGAGTATCCACCTCATGGAGGATGTTTGATATAGTGACCACAAGCTGCCTCACCCAAAACTCGTGTTGTGGAAAAGAGAGGGGACAAAGTCACCCCAGTGAGGGCTTTTTGGAGGGTTTTCCAGGCAGAACTGTGGACACATGAGCTGATGGCATCTCCCCCCACACCAGAGCCCGCTCCTCTCCAACTGACACTCACAGGCAGTGCACCACCGTCCTGCCATCGCCACTCTCCTTCTGCCACCTCTCCACTTGGGCCAAGAGGTGCAGGAAGGATTTCTTGGAGTCCGGGGTGTCTCGATATGGTGACCACCGCAGGTACTGGAAATGCCGGACCATCAGGTGTCCCTCCTGCAACTAGAAAAGCAAAACCTCATCAGCTTGAACCCATGGGTTGCCCTCATTTGCCTCCACTGGAAGTTTGATGGAGGGCAAGAGGGGTTTGCCAGGTATTAAAAGGAGAGGAAGAGAGGAAAACCCTTTCCTGGTGCTTTAAGATGGATGGTTCGGCTCTCTCCTCCACAGCTCACACTGACCCACCACCCCATCCCACCCCAGGCAGCCCTGCTGCCATGGTTTATCCAAACTCACAGCATCTCAGACTGTCTGTGTATCTCACAAAACATGTTATCAAACCCCTGAGCCTCCCCAAGGCTTCTCCATCACATCCTTGTCTTGCACACAGAAGATCCCAGGGGATGGGTTTTTGTTGTGTTCGCTGTAAACCAGGAGGCTGATGAGAAGCTGCCACCCACGGAGGCAGGGAGCAGTGGAAGTGCGCCTTAATACTCTGGTAATCTGGTTAGTTTTGAAACCTAATCTGGTTAGCAGGCTCCAGGAGGAAGCTTCCATCCACGAAGCTAAAAAAGGCCAGGCAGATGTGGGGCTCTTGCTCAGAAGTACTCGGAGCATCAGGAGCCCGATGGGATGAAATCACAGGTCACACAGTCCAGCTGCATCTCGGGGCTCGGTGGCACACGTGTGGGGAGCACGCTTCAGAGGAGAAAGGGGGGGTCAGATGCAGATAGGGGATCCCCACTCTGGAGGGCTTCATCCACTCGATTTCAGATGCCTGATGAGCAGGGTGAGCACCAGACCATCACCAACCAGTGGGACTGGGTGTTCCTGTGGCTCTGCAGGGATCCCCCCAGACTGGGGGATGGGTGTTGGGGGCATTCAGTGCCCACTCCAACCAGCCCACCCCGAACTCACAGGGGCTTTTCTGAACCTTTTGGGGAGCTCCGCTGTGAGTTGGTGACATGGCTGGGATGGGGTGACCTCCCCAGGCCCGAGCTTTCACTTCCAGCCTAAAGCCAGGAAGGCAGAGGGGGAAGATGACACAAATAAGTGGAGATAAAACAGGAGAAAACTCCTTTAACAGTATAGAAAGGAAAGCTTTGGGATCCATTCTGATGCTCAGATGAAAGCTCTGTTTGGCTCTGGAGGACTTGTGACACCCCCCAGTGCCCGGCTCCCCTCCAGACGGCAAGGCTTGGCAAGAAGCAGCTCCTCCAGCGATTTGCTCCTTGGGGAAATATCTTCTTAGATCCAGGGATTTCAATCGCGCTGCATTTTAATTTAGCATAGGGTATATTCTACCACCTGAGAGCAAAGCACATTTGGTGAAGGATTTTGTGCTGACACCCAGAAAATGCCAGATGCTCCCACAGGGAGGGTGAACCAAAACCCTCTTTGTGTTAAGAGTCCAAATAATCTGGATTTCTCTCCTCCGGCCCAGCTCCCACACCAAAGCACCCTTCCCAGCCAGGCCACCAGCCAAGCCACACACTCCTTTCCAAGTTCACTAATTCCCATCTGCCCAAAGATCTCCACTGGGGTATTAGCCTCAGCCTCTTGGTGACCCTCAGGAGATTAAAAGACCTCAGGGATGCTGCCTCTTCATGGTTGGCTTTTGTAGTTAAATCAGTTTTTTTTTCCATCTACAGTTCTGCACCCACATGGGCTGTTCATGTCAGTCCCTGTCCCTTCCCAATTTCACTGTATTTCTCTTGTTGAACCAGCCAAGCATCGATTCAACAAGGACAACAGGTGAAAACCTGTGTGGATCTTCTCACCGTGCTGGCTCAAAGGGAGCCACCATGCCCACGCAGGGAATCTCCATTTTGTGATACATGCGTGGCAGAGCAGAGATGGACTTCCAGCCAGGATGAGGAAGGTCTTCCTATAGAGTTATCTAAAATCTTGGAAGGATCCATAAACTCCAAAAAGGTTGGATGGAGCCAACAGCAATTTTACAGGCTCCTCTCTGCCAGGACAAGAGCTGGGGCTGCATCCTCTGGAGGAGCTGGATTAGGTTGAAGAAGACATCAGCAGCTACAGCACCAGTCACTTAGTTTATATGGAGAATTACCTGGATGATCAATGCTAAGCTCTAGAACTGTGCGCCCTCACTAGATGCATCATCCTTCTGCTCTCCAAAGGTCTTCACTTGTATAAAGAAGCTCTTGGTGATGTTCCAGCCCTTCCACAAAGCAGTGCCAAACAAAACCAATCCGTCCCCTGCACATGAGGTCACCCAGCCCAGACCTCTGCACTGGGTGGCACCTTCACAGACACACATGCAGCTCCCCCAACCACCCTACGCTGCCATGGAGCCAGAGGAGAGACCCTCACCCGTGTGATGTTCTGGACTCGGAAGAGACGGGACACGATGTCCTCATCAGCCGCTCCGGAAACGTACTCCACCTCCATGGGGCCGTAATGCTGGAGCCCCGGCTCGGGCCAGTACTGCAAACAGGGCTGTGGAGAGAAGAGGAACAGCTCACTGTGACCGGGGACATGCACTGGGACATGGGGAAAGGGCATCATGCATCAGAAGCAACGTTGAGTGGAATGGAGTGGTTGGCGCTGGACACCAAGAGGGGCTGCTGGCACAGGGGGTGGCCTCAGGAAGGGACACTAGGGCCATGGCACATTGCTGGATAGAAGATCCCTCAGCTTGTGGAGGGATCAAAGATGAAAGGCCAGGGACACCTCCCAGCGCCCGTGTAGCCCTCTCCCTACTGCAGGAACGCAACAGCTAACGCTCCTGGACATGGCCTTTGCTGGTGCGGGAGGAGCCATGATGGGCCCTGCCTCAGCCCCAGCCTGATCCTGCAGAAGGACGGAGCAGGGCTTGGCCCCAGGTCTGCTCTCAAACCCCATGGGCTTTAGAAGCTGCTCTGCCACCAGTAGCACCAGCAACGTGGGGTGACAGTCCCCCTCGCCCCATGGCCAGGACATCCCGCAATGTCAAAGCAATGCCGGCCTGCGGCCCAGGGAAGGGCTGGGGAGCCATTCCTGCTCCCCACCATGTGTCCACCCACGGATGGCTCGGTCCAAGGGCCACAGATGTGAATGTTTTCACACAGCGACAGCTGGGAAACCAGCATCGACACAAAATATATGATGTTTGTCACCGCACTTTAACAGGGCATTTAGCATATCAGGCCATCTAACGGCTTGGGCCTAACTGCATGGCAAATGTGCTTGAGAAATAATTGGTTATTAATAGGGGCTATAAATCTTCAAGATCTCAAAGCTTTCTAGACCCAGAGCTATAATTTGGATATTAAAACTTCCTTTGGCAAGAGGTGGTTCAAGTGAGAGATATACCCTCTAAGTCACCTTTCGGAGCTGCCTGCTGTAAAGGTTGATTTATTACCTGTTGCCCCTAAACTGGTAAACATTTAAGATCCAGCTAAATATTGTAACACAGACATCCCTGAAGAATAGACATCCAGAGAGAGAGGCTGGGCTGAATAATGAAGAAAAATGGCAGAGCCCCCGTCAGTCAGCACTGGGGGACAGTGGCCGTGGCAGGGGATGGGGACCTGGGGGAGGATGGCAGAGGAGATGGCAGCACCTGCCATCTCATAGGGTACTTCTGGATCAGGGAACGAAATAAGAGGTTGAGAGAAAGAAAATAGGTTTTGCTGCCTCCTTCCCTGTGTTGGCCCACTTCAGTGGGGTTCAGGTGGTAGCTGAGGTATGTGCTGCAGGCAGGAGGTGCTGGACGGTCACAGTGGAGGGACAATAAGGTGGTGGCACTGCTGCAGGGCTGAGTTTTCAAAGGGACACTTGATCCCAGAAGATATCTCAGCACACGTAAGTGTAAATCAAGGTGAAAAATGCACGTGGGAGCATCAGTTCCCCTCCCATAGCTGGACTTGGCCATTGTTCGGGCAACATGGCTGCTCTCCTCAGCCATACTTGCAGGCAAAGCCCTTCCAAGCTCAAGGCATCACCACCACCTCCACACACAGAGGGAACCCAGGCAGCTCTGCTCACAAGGCTCGGGGCAGCCACCACTGCCCACCAGGGCTTGATGTGGCCAACGTGTCCAGCCCCATCCTCGCCCTGGCACCGGAGAGCCTGCCCGCCCATGCCAGAGCCACCCTTGGGTGCTGGCTGTGCACCAACACCCTCTGCTCCGGACCCACAGGGGCACAAAGAGGCAACAGCCACCACCAGAACCCCACAAGTTTATTCCAGTGAGCAAAGCAAAGCAGAGGAACCCAACCCAAGAAAGGGGCAGGGGCAGAGCACCAGTTTATTCCAACTGCAAGATGTATTTAGGTAACGTTTCACTTGGAGGCCATCCTACCCAGCAGCACGCAGAGCCTGCTGAAAGCTGAGGGCATCGCCTGGGGACCACAGGCAGCCACCACAGAAGCAGCGCTGCTGGAATCACACAGCTTATTCCTTACAGGAGGGAACAGGCATTTCTGCACGGGGAAAAGGTGCCCAGGGAAAAAACTTCAGGTCTGGGCACTCTGATGCCCAACGCTGCAGCCTCCCCCATCGCTCCCTGGGCACCAGCTCCCAGGGCAAGGGGACACAGCACAGCCCTCGCAGGACACGCCAAAGGCCAAGTACAGTTGGATTTGCTTCTGGGGTCAAAACCAAGAAGTTTCTTTTCCCCAACGAAAGAAAATGGGGCTATTTCCCCATTTCTTCTTTCTTCCACTTCCTGCTGCCAGGAGATGGGCCCCTCACCGTGATGTCACCAGGATGCAACATGGATGATGCCACAATGACACTGGAGAACTTCCCAGGCAGCCGGCGCCACGGCCCCTCATTCTGCTGAGCGGCAGCGCCAGGCGTGGTTGGTCAGGGAACAGGCCACGGCTGGAAGCTGCAGCCAAGCCATGAAAAGACAAATTAAAACAGAGCCGCTCTCCCCAGAGGCCTCCTGGGCTTCCCACCCAGAGGAGCCAGACTGGTGGGCGGTGTCCACTTCTCACCACCATCCAGGAGGTGATACGGGAGCAGCTTGGGATGCTGCCATCGGACCTCTCGAGGAAGAAAACACCCTTCAAGGTTTCCCTGAGGAATCCTGGGCCCCCATCATGCCATTTTGTTCCCCAGAGGTCTGTGAAGAGACCAGCCAGTCTCCAGCTGACTCCTTCCTCTACAACCTCTGGAAGATCGTCGGCAGCCCTGACTTCCAGTCCATCTGGTGGGGCGACGATGGAAACTGCATTGTGATCGCAGAAAAGCTCTTTAGAGAGGAAGTGCTGGGGAGGAGTGGACCTCTGAAGATCTTTGAAACCACCTCCATGGGAGGCTTTGTGCTCCAACTGAACCTCCATGGATTCTCCAAAATGGAAGGGGATTCTCTCATCTCCATCTCCATCAAGGAGCTGCAAGCAGTAGCAGCAGCAGCAGCAGGGGCTGCTCTGGGCAAGGTACGTCCCTTCCCCTGCGCACCAAAGAACCCTCGGGGCATTATTTAGTCAAAACATAAGGGTCTAAACGCCCTGGAGAGTCCTTTTTAATACCCATGTTTGTCTCTGCTGACACAGATGCTTAGTTATTGGATCTCTGTCTTTCTCCTTGACATGATGGCAACTAACTCCTCTCCTTTGCATTTTGTAGCTGCTCTTCTACTACAACCCCTTTTTTAAGAGAGATGACCCCAACCTCCTCAGCACATTTACACGAAGTGCTGGTGAGAGCAGGAGAGCCCCAGCTGCTTCCCCACTGGGCACCAAGGTGAAGGAAGAGCAGCCAAGAAAAAGACGACGTCACAGCCAAGTAGCCATGGGAGCTGTGGAGGAGAACATCACCCAGAGATACACAACCACCAGCTCCACCCCGACCGAGCCATGGGCTGATGCAACCGCCCAGATGGGTCCAGCTCCACCAAAACGGCACCGCAGCCATGGCCCCATGGGCAGCCATGAGGTGGCTCCTGCTCCAGCCATGGCCTCACCACACCGTGCCACGCCTCCTGCCCCAAACAGTCCCTTCATACCAGCCATGGAACACCCCATATTTCCACCTGGGTGGCCAAATTTTGCTGCTGTGCAGGTCCCTGGGGCTGGCCTGCCAATATTGTGCCATCCATGGCTGGTGATGGGCACCTTGGCACCAGCTCCTGCTGTTCCCATGCCAGGGCCACCGCGTCGCCGAGGTTCAACCTGCTGCTACTGCCCAGCCTGCACCTACGGACCAAACACCGCAGCTGCCCCCAGCGGGGGTTGGAGTTGGGGGTGGGAATAGACATAGCAGAGATCGTAGGGAGCAAGTGAGCATCATAGAGGTAGAAAGACACAGTGTAGGAGTAAGTAATAATAGTACGTTGTTTGTTGTTCTCAATAATAAATCTTTTCAAGTTCTCTTGTCCTGTCCCTACAGTCTCACAGTCACTGTCTTGACACCCAGGGCTGGGGGTGGCCTTCAGGGACATGAAGGGTTTGGCTCCAGCCCCGCAAAGCCAAAGGTCCCAGGCATTAGGGCTGCATTCAGCAAAACCCAGCAAAAGGCCAACCTGGGGCTAATCCAGGAGCTGCACCAGCCCCCAGGACCACCCAGCCCAAACTGGTCCCTCACAGCCCTTGGGGGGTCCATGCCCCTTCAGGACAACTCAGCCAGAAGTATGTTGGGAGGGACATCATTAAAAGCTTTACTAAAATCCAGAAAAACTACATCCACCATCTTCTCTTCATCCACGAGATGGGTGACATCCTAGAAGGATAAGTCCTTCCTGGACTCCTCTGCCCTTCAGGACTGCCTCCCAAGGGACTCCATCAACCAGGCCCCTCAACAGGCCAAAGCCTGCCCTGCAGAAGTCCAACGTGGCAGTTTTGCTGACCCCCTTCCTTACTTCTCCAAGAACTGAAAACTACCATTTCATGACTGTTGTGTCCAAGACAGCCTCCAACCATCACACCACCCACAAGTCCTTCTCTATTCACAAACAGCAGGTCCAGTGGGGTGCTTTCCCTAGTTGGCTCCCTCACCCACTGTGTCAGGAAGTTCTCTTCCACACACTCCTAGACTGTTCCCTCACCACTGTGTCGTATTTCCAGCAGACATCTGGTTAAGTTCAAGTTCCCCATGAGAACAAGGCAGCCAACACGAGACTTCTCCTAGCTACTTATAGAATATTTCTTCCATCTGCCTCCTCATCCTGGTTGGGTGGTTGTCCTGTCTATAGCAGACTCACACCATGATAGCTGCCTTGTTGACCTTCTCCCTGATCCTTACCCATAAACACTCAACATGTTCATCACCATCATCCAGCTCTAGATAATTGACCAGTCCCAGCTGCTGGTACTGGAAGGGGCTTCTCCAATGACCCCAGCCACACAAACCCACTCATTTCAGCATGTCCATGGGAAGATTGCTTCGTTAAGCATCAACTTCATCTAGGAGTGACTCCTCTGAGTGAGCAAACAACCTGGGAAGCTCGTTGGGGCCAGCTCTGCCCCCTCCCCTGGCAAATCTCTGCAAGGCAATAGACCCTCCCAGAACACCCCTTGATGCTCAGGGCCTGCTTAATGTCATAGAATGGTTCAGGTTGGAGGTGACCTTCAAGACCATCAAGTTCAACCATCAACCTCACACTGCCAAAGCCACCACTGACCCATGTCCCTCAGCACCACGTCTGCCCAGCTTTTAAATACCTCCAGGGATGGTGACTCCACCACTGCCCTGTCACCCCACACAAAGGTCCTTTGGAGCACATGGCGTTAGCTCAGCACAGAGGGACACTGCTGTGCTCCATAGCTCTTCACGTGTCCATACATATGCATATACATATATATATATAAATAAATACCAGCGTATTTACACATCACTTGGTACTGGTGCCACATCCATCTGCACCCTTGCGACAAATGGTACAATTGCCGTTTTGGGTCATTTACATCGAGTATCTGCTCTCAACTCGTAAAATAAGCCAGCTAATGAAGTCTTCTCCAGACATCCATTAAGAGTCTATAATGCAAATTTTATGTAAAAAATCCAGTAAGTTTCCTCATTGAATTAACATTACAGACCTGTAGCGGACTTTTACATCCGCTCCGGTGGCAGCAGGAGCACTTCAGGCATCCCACTGGGGAGCAATGCACCAGGAAAGCAAAGTGAGGTGAGACCGAGCGTGGCCCCCAGGTGACAGGGGACACCTCCCCTCCAGTTTGGCAGGTCTGCACATCCCACCACTCCTGCAAAACCCACGGGACAGCCCCTTTGCTGATTTGTAAAGCAGTGTTCGCAAGCCAGCAGTGCCCTTGGAAGACGAACGTGGGAAAACCCCTGTGCCTCAGTTTCCCCTTTGTAAAAGAAGGATAAAAGTCAGTTCTGGATCACAACAAGGTTATATTTGTCATTAACCTTGTATCTCCCTAGGGCATCCACAAAGATTGTGGTACAGGAAAGCAATGTCAACACAATGCCAACGTCAACACAACATCAACACAATGTCAATGTCAATGCCAACACCAATGTCAATGCAACAAGGCCAGGCTGGTTTGCTATTGCCACGGATCTTTGGCTCCAGCTGCCAACCCCGTGCTTACATGAGATAAATCCTGGGTGCCACAGCCCGTCCCATACAATCATAGAATCATAGAATCGTCTAGGTTGGAAAAGACCCTTGGGATCATCGAGTCCAACCACCAACCCCACTCTACAAAGTTCTCCCCTACACCATATCCCCCAACACCACATCTAAACGACTCTTAAACACATCCAGGGATGGTGACTCAACCCCCTCCCTGGGCGGCCTATTCCAATGCCTGACTACTCTTTCTGTGAAAAACTCCATCCTAATGTTCAGTTTAAAGCTACCCTGTTGGAGCTTAAAGCCATTCCCTCTTGTTCTATCGCTAATTACCATCTCCTGTTGCAGAGGAGAAGGAGCTGAATGAGCAAGGTAGGGGTTGTAGCACTTCTAAGGTGGTGGGGATGGAGCGGGACAGGGCCACCTGTGGGGCCAGTGTGGACCCTTGGGCGGTAGCACTCACCCAGGCGGAGTTGGACTGGTTGAGCTGGTTGAGCATGACGATGGAGGTGCAGCCATAGTCATACACCAACCGCCAGAAGTCGGTGGTGGTGTTCTGCAGCGGGTGCAGGGTGACGATGAAGGCAGCGCTCTTGGTGTAGCTCTGCAGAGAGGGAAGACAAACACCATTAAGAACATGGCAGCACTGAAGCCACTGCTGTCACACCCTGAAAAAACAGTGCAATCAGAAGATCAGAGTGCCACCAAAGCTATCCTCTCTATGCTTGAGCAGAGCTGGCCTCTCTGGCACAGCCTTGGTCCCTTCATGCTGGGGAGATGCTGTAAAAACAGGTCTAAGTGATCCCTGCCCTTGGTTGGGATGAAAGTACCCCCCTTTCTGCTCCTGGCTCTCGCCTGGAAGGGTGTTTCACACAAATAACTGGGGAACAGATGTCACCTTTGAGCCAAGCAGAAGCCGTGGCTGTCAGATGTCCCCAGCATCCAGCTCTGCAGCCTGGTCCTGAGCGAAAGCATCACCCCCAGCATCACCCCCACAGCACCCCAACACCTCCAGGCACCACGAGCAGCAAAGAGACATTGGAGTCAGTGTTCTTTTCAGGAAGGAAAGAAAACCCTTAAAGATCCCTTAAGACTGCAAGAAGGAAGGGGAATAAAAAATGATTGTACTTCTCTCGTTCGTGCTTTGAACGAGATTTGTCCCCTTGGTCATCCCAACGCCAGCTTGGAGAGGGATGGGGAGCCCATGGCCTGGCTCAGAGCTGCATCAATCACTTTTAAATTAACACACTTTAGCTCAAGCCTCCATGGATACAGTAACAGGGCAGAAAATGCTCTGTACCCACAAATTAGCACAGCTCTCTGCTAACGGGGAGTCCTCAGGCTGCCGCAAAACCTCCTCATGTCACTCATGGAAAAGCCCTTTCATACCTTGTCCCCTGCTCCATCCGTGGGGGAGCATCACGAATCCTGGCTCACCACAGCCAGCTCTTGGCGAGAGCTTTCCACCCTCGAGCAGGGAGAGGAGAGCAGCGGGGCGAGGGGGATTTCATTAAGTGTTGACCAGGCACCCAAAATCCTTTAGGACCCAAAATCCTTTGACGCCCACGTAAATGACAAAAGCTGGCATGGAGCAGAGCATGGGTCCATCAGCCTGCTGCCGGCACCAGCACCACCACAGTGATGTTGGGCAGCAGGGACCAACCTCATCTGACAGACAGACGGACCGAGCAAACCACTTTGGTACTTAAAGAAAATGAGCTCTTCCCCCCACCACCTCAAAGAGGGAAATGGGTTTTATCCCTTCAGCAGCATTTCATCCAAAAGGCTTTTTCTGTCTGCAAAGAAATTTCTGTTCTCTGACCCTCTAGCACAGATTAAGGGAGGCTCAGTGATGTACAAAAATAAAATGGATATGCAAACACCGAGCAAGCTGAAAACAAAGCTCCCATCCCACCACGGCCAAAGCCTGCAGCCCCCCGGCTCCTGCTCCCCACGGCCAGCAGCCACCTCCACTTTACAATCTGCTTTTTGCACAAAGATAAATCACCCGTGGGGTAAAAAAATTTAGGGCTCAGCCTGATGCCAGTGCTCAGCTGTGACCAGGAGGGTTCGGGGAAGATGCCTGGGGTGCGGGAGGGCTCAGCTCTGCCCGGGCAAAGCACCTCGGCTCGTTCAAGGAGAGGAAAGAGGGTTTGGTGATAAATCACCCGTCGCTCGGTGCAGGCTCGGAGCATCCTCCCAGCTCTGCTCTGCCGTTGTCAGCTGGTAGGAAATAGCTTTGCCGTTACGGGTGTCATTTCTGACCGCAGCAGGGTGATGCGCAGCGGCTTCGGGACCAGTTCGGACCCCCTGGATTGCACTGGGAGAACGGGCAGGAAGATGCCCAGAAGGGTGCTGGTAGCACATGGGGGATCTCAGTGCTGCCAACCCCTCCCAGAGCCTCCTGAGCTCTATTTTGTTATGAAATAAATGAAGACCCTTCATGTGCAGCTTGTGAGAGCAGGCGAAAAGCTCTTTCAAGACGAGCAAGTTGGTGCTACACAAAAGAAGGGCTGATGGACCCCACTACACCGGTCCCAGACCTTCCTCCCCCTGCACACAGCTGGGGGCCACCACCTGCCTTCGTGCCCTTGTGCAAAACGAGGATGTCAATTGAAACCAAGCAAGATTCTGCCACGAAAAACCACCCAAAGCCACCCAAACTGTCCCCTTTCCCTCCCCACAGCACGCTCACATCAGTTAAGGCCGCGTTGATGTAGTTGTTGCTGTCTCCGTCCACGGAGATGAGGAAGGGAAGGGATGTAAATTGAAACCAAGCAAGATTCTGCCACAAAAAACCACCCAAACCGTCCCCCTTGAAACCAAGCAAGATTCTGCCACAAAAAAACACCCAGAGCAACTCAAACCATCCCCCTTCCCTCCCCGCAGCACGCTCACATCAGTTAAGGCCGCGTTGATGTAGTTGTTGCTGTCTCCGTCCACGGAGATGAGGAAGGGAAGGGATGTAAATTGAAACCAAGCAAGATTCTGCCACAAAAAAACACCCAGAGCAACTCAAACCATCCCCCTTCCCTCCCCGCAGCACGCTCACATCAGTTAAGGCCGCGTTGATGTAGTTGTTGCTGTCTCCGTCCACGGAGATGAGGAAGGGAAGGCATCGGTCGGGCGGCAGGACGTCCATGCTGCGGTTCCTCTCCCGGTTGCGGGGCAGGAGGGCGATGCTGCACTCCTCCACATCCAGGTGGGGAGTCACCGAATTCAGGGTCTGCAGGGAGGGACACGGTGCTCCCCTTAACTCCCCTCCTACCTGCCTCGGGGGCAGCCACCCCTGCCAGAGCCCACCAGGGCACCAGGAGGGTGAGGAGGAGGGAGGATGCAAAGGTTTTTGGGGCCACTCACCTGAAACTCTTCCCGCAGCTGCGAGGAGTTGCTCTGTGGCTCTATCCTCACCATCTCCTTGTAGGTGGGCTTGAACTCGTTGGCGGGGATGCTGGTCTCCCCGCACAGGCAGGCTTCCAGGATGGCATCGTGGATGAAGACGTACTGCTCCTTTTGTGGGGGGAGGAAAAGGGAGAGGGCTGAGCCTCCCCAGCCTGCTGCTGACAGCAGCTCCAAGTGTCCCCAGTTGTCCCCAACACCCGCTCACCTCTGTTTGTATCATGTTGATCCTCCGTGAGCACAAGGTCTTCACGCAGTTGTAGATGTCCACGACGCCCTCGCACTCGGCCATGTCCAACATAACGTCCAGGACGATGTAGCAGCCGGTTCTCCCCGTGCCAGCACTGGGGATGGAGGAAAACACAGCAAACATATTCCCAGTTCACCCAGCAGCCACACACTGGTGGGCATGGAGTAAGGACTGTGTGGGTGAGGGCTTGATGTGGGGACCCTGCCCACGAACATGGGGGTAGTGGGGTCCAGGCAGGGCTGCCAGGACCTCGCACACCTCCAAAACCACACTTTTGCCTTAAAACACCCACCCAAACACCCCACTGCAGCAGCCTGGGGGCTGGGTGGTGGTCAGGCTGCCAGTGGGAGGGTGGGCACCCACTAGGTTCATTTTTATTTTAAGACAGCAAAACACATGCTTTTTTGGCAACAAAACCTACAGCTAAACAATCTGAGGGCCAACAGTCCTCCAGGATTCTATCCCAAAAGGGCAGAGGAGGATGCCCAGCACTGAGCCCTGGGAGCACAGGGAGGAACCCCCGGCACAGAGCGGGGCTGAATTCCCCCAGGGAGACCCTCAGGTTAAGGCTGAGCCCAGCACTATGCCCAGAGCCAGACAACCCAGCAGTGATATCCCAAATCCTGGCCTGGATGGATGCACAGCCAAAGACCTACTGAGCCCTCAATATAAGAAGGACATGGACCTGATGGAGAGGGTCCAGAGGAGGGCCACAAGGATGATCAGGGGGATGGAGCACCTCTGCTATGAGGACAGGCTGAGGGAGCTGGGGTTGTTCAGCCTGGAGAAGAGGAGGCTCCAGGGAGACCTAATAGCAGCCTTCCAGTACCTGAGGGGGCTACAGGAAGGCTGGGGAGAGCCTGTTTAGAAAGGCCTGTAGTGACAGGACGAGGGGCAATGGCTTCAAGCTGGAGAGGAACAGATTTAGACTGGAGATGAGGAGAGGGTTCTTCACTGTGAGGGTGATGGAGCACTGGAACAGGTTGCCCAGGGAGGTGGTTGAGGCCCCATCCCTGGAGATATTCAAGGAGAGGCTCGACGAGGCCCTGGGCAACCTGGTCTAGTTGGGGGTGTCCCTGCTGACTGCGGGGGGGGCGGACTAGATGGCCTTTGGAGGTCCCTTCCAGCCTGGACAATTCTATGATTCTATGATGCAACCCCCTCCCACGACATCGGGAACGGAATCGCTCCCCCCACTCCTTTCCTACAAAGTCTTTTCCAGTGAAATACTAATTTCTGGGGCTGATGAATCACTCGTCGTGATTATCAGTGATTACAGGCTACGGGCACTAATCGCACTGGCGGTTGCCGGTGAATTACTACTGATGAGGCAATCGACAGGGTGAAATCAAATCAAATAAAAAAAAAAAAATCCCTCCCGCTCATCAGCTCCTCCTTGTTTGCCCAGCCATTAACCCGTCGCCTACTCAGGGGACAGAAAGCCACCGCTCCTGCTCAGATGTGCCACCGGTGTCCTCCCAGCTCCGGTGTCCCAGTGGCTGAGCCTGGGGGACATTTCCAAGCCTGGGAACAGGGCTGTCCTGCTGTCCCTCCCCACCTCTCCCTTCGGCCAGACCCAATGTCCTTGACCACCAGCAGCTGTGAAGCTGCCCGTCCCCCCCGTGCCACCCTCGCCCACGGGGACAGAGTTGTGTCATCAGTAACGGGTGCTGGGGCAGCCCCTCAAAAAGTGCTGCTCCCTGCTTGCCCCCTGGATCAGCCACAGCCACCCCCATCCCTGCTGCCACCAGCCTGGTGGTGACATTTTACAGCTGGATGCCATCGTAGAGGGACATGCAACCCCATGCCATCAGACCTGGTGCCTTCCCTTCCCCAGCCCTTCCCTGCTATGAACCCAATTTATACATTTTGTATCTCCCTGCTGAATATTTTAGCATCATTCCAGTCAAGGGAAGTCATTCTCCCCCTCTACTCTGCACTGGTGAGGCCACAACTAGAGTACTGCGTCCAGTTCTGGGCTCCCCAGTTCAAGAGGGACAGGGAACTACTAGAAAGAGTCCAGCGAAGGGCAACAAAGATGATTCAAGGATTGGAGCATCTCCCTTATGAGGAGAGACTGAGAGAGCTGGGACTCTTTAGTCTGGAGAAGAGAAGGCTGAGGGGAGACCTTATCAATGCCTACAAGTATCTCAAGGGAGGGGTGAAGGAGGAGGGAGCCAGACTCTTTTCAGTGGTTCCCAGTGAGAGGACAAGGGGCAACGGGCACAAGTTGGGACATAAGAGGTTCCACTCAAATATGAGGAGAAACTTCTTCACGGTGAGGGTGCCAGAGCCCTGGAACAGGCTGCCCAGGGAGGGTGTGGAGTCCCCTTCCTTGGAGATTTTCAAGACCCGCCTGGATGCTCCTGAGTAACATGCTCTGACAAGCTCTAGGCAATCCTGCTTCAGCAGGGGAGGTGGACTAGATGATCTCTATGGTCCCTTCCAACTCTAAAATTCAGTGAAATTCAGTGAAATTCCGAGCTTTTAGCATCATTCAGAGGCTGAGCACCCACCCAAAACACAGTGTACCCCCTCTGGGGCCACTCATACCCCCCCCAAACCCCATCCTGGAGGGGAATGCTCCCCCCACAGCCAGCTCTGCCCCACGGCTGGGGACATACCTGCAGTGGATGACGATGGGGCCAGCGTCGGGCGGCGTGGACGCCTTCACCCTGCGGATGAAGGCCAGCAGCCCCGTGGCGTGGTAGGGGACACCGTGCTCAGGCCACGATGTGAAGTGGAACTGCTTCACCTCGTGCCGAGCCGAGTAGCCCCTCTGCAAGGGAAGGGTGAGATGGAGTGAGGGGGGCACGAGGGAGGGCAAAGCCACCCAAACACCTAATTTTCTTGGGCACCCATGATTTTGCCAGCTCAGCGCCCAGCCAGGTGGATCATACAGCGGTCGGCTGCTTCAACAGCCCCACAGCTCCCTCCTCCTCTCTGCAAAAAGGTTAAAAAACAGCTGAGGAGGAAGAAGAGGAAGAGGCAGCAGCCATGGGTCTCATTCCATGAGCAACTTTGACACCTGCCCTATAATCAGACAGTAATTTCACATTCCTGTCGATTAAGGGGTAAATCGCACCGGCTCCATCCCCAGGTGCCACACTGGAAAGTGATGGCCACCTAACCCATGCTCCAGCCTGGAGGAGAAAAAAACATCTTTCACCCCCATCGCAATTACACGGTGCTCACACGGAAATTAAATACTCACTCATTGCCAAAACCAAAGATGGGCTGAGCCACTCGCCCCGGCGGAGGGTGCAGAGCCGGGGAAAAGGCAAAGGAAGAAGCCACCAGCATCCCTGGGGCTCAGAAGCTGCACCTCAATCGGGGATGAAAGCCCAATGTTGGGGTAAATAAATAGGGTATTGGTAAATGTCAATCTGGTGGTGGTTACGGATGCCCAAGGAGGATGGCTCTTTCCCTGCAAGGGCAGGGTTGGGCAGATAGGAAGAAATTCTTTGGTGTGAGGGTGGTGAGAGCTTGGCCCAGGTTGCCCCGAGAAGCTGTGGCTGCCCCATCCCTGGAGGGGTTCAAGGGCAGGTTGGAGGAGGCTTGGAGCAACCTGGGCTGGTGGGAGGTGTCCCTGCCCAGGGCAGAGGGTTGGAACTTGATGATCTTTAAGGTGCCTTCCAACCTAAACCATTCTGTGATTCTATGACCATACCCTCTCCAGAGCGAAGGTGCGGACGGCGTACTCAGCCAGTGTCTCCGACTTCACCAGGGTGATCTTGATGTCCCCATACATCTCGGAGTCATCAGGCCAGTATTTGGAGCATTTCACCTGCAAGGAGAGGACGGGACAGGGTTTTGGCTCTGCGGAGGAAGTTTCTGGGAGAGCTGGAGCCCAGAGGAGAAGGATGGGATGGAGTCCTTACCCGGCCCACCTCCACCAGTTTGGTTATCATCACGATGCTGGAACAGTGCTCCTGCCACACCATGCGCCAGAAGTCATAGACCATCTCCTGCTTGGGCCCTGTGGGACAGAGGAAAGGCCACCGGGGATGGATGGGCAACACCACGATGCCACCATATTTCCCTCTTAACACCCCACAGCATTTTAAGCACCCTTTTCCCCCAGGGACGTGCAGTGCCGTGGGGCAGCAGGAGGGGTGAGAGCCACTCCACGTTGCAAACACTCAGTTTGGCCCCAAATTGGCCCCCTCCCTCCCTTTCTTGCCCACACAAGGTTAAGTCCCACCTGGCTACTAAATCAGGAGCTGCTGAACCACTGGCTGAGAGGGCAGGGGGAGGAGACAACTCACCTTGAGTGGCTATGAAGTGGTTGGACCTGTGGTAGCCCTGCAAGGGAAGCAGAGACATCAGAGAAGTCAGGGGGACACACTGGGGGACAGCCCCGTAAAACATTTCCCAGTCACCCAAGTGGTGGCAACTGGCCACATCCACCAGGCCAGGTCCCAGTGCCAAGCACAGCAACACCACAGCGAGAGCCCCATTAATGATATCCCATCCCACAGCAGCCACGTGATGCTGGATGATGGCCCCACTCCCATCCTTCATCCCAGCCTCTTCCTGGGGCCATTCCCAACTCTAAACAGGGACGTGCCAACCCAAAGAGCACATCCCAGCAAGGCCACTGCCAAAGGGACCAGAGACCCGCTGTCCCACCCTTGGCCATGGGTCCAGCAGAGTTCAAGCACATCACACGCATGGAGGTGACGGTGGCTCCTCCATCCACCATGGGTCCTTTCACAGGGGATTTTTGTGGATTGAACTCAACCCCCCCTCCAAGCACACGGTCCCTGCTCCCCATCACCGGGGAGAGGACGTGCCACAGAGACCTTGCTTTCCCCTTCCCTGGACCGTCCACAAGTTTGTCCACACATTTTCCCAGCCGACCTCTCCCAGATATTATTTAAGGCCACGCTGCCCAGTATGATGCCTGGGAGGAGATGGGAGCAGAGGGGAACCGTCTACTTACTTCTCGGTTAATCCGAATCTTAACGATCCCATTGGGACACAGGTTTGAGAGAAAAAGATCAGAGACAGAGACATTAGTGAGGCACAGATCAAGAGACAGGTTAGAGCACCGGCCCTGGAGCAGGTCATAGGGAGCCACAGGCAAGAAGGGACACACAGGGACAGGGGACAGGCACAGGGATGCTGCTCAGGCATAGGAAACCCATCACGGTGGCATCAGGCCACCATGGCCAGATGACATCCTCTGGAACGGAGGGAAGAGTGGGACTTGCTGCTGCTTCCAGGAGATGCTAAAGATTTGTGCCCAATGGTGCCTTCCTGCACCTCCTCTGGTCTCGGCATCACCTCAGCTGGAGGTGGCAGGGGATACCACTCTTGGGGGACATGGCTCTCAGAAGACACCAGGGCTGAGCTCTGATCAGGGGGTTTCCCAGTGTGAGCCCCAAGCTGGTCCCTTGGTCTCCCCAGCTGGTTCCTTGGCCCCCTCAACCCCTGCATCCTCAACCCAGGGAGGAGGGAGAACCACGGCCACAAGAGCAGGCGAGGGGAGATGAGAGGATGGAAGAGGGGAGGAGGAAGGAGGGACAGAGCAGAGCAGAGAAGGGAGAGACACAGCAAGCAGAAATCGCTGATGAACATAAATAAACCAGGCAAGCTCTTCATGGCGTGTCTCAAGGCTGCACAGTTCAGCCCATCCTGGGCTGTCTCAGCTCCTCCAAATGCTCCTGGTTCTTCAGGGACAGACCCCGACAGCCCACAGGGTCCGTTGGAAGCTCCTGTCCCAACCCAGACCCCCTATGGAGAGAAGCACCATCCCCACTCACATCAATGTAGTTGGCGTTGATGTAGTCTGAGTTGGGATCGCCCAGCAGTGGGTGCAGCTTCACCCGGTGGCGGTCATCTGGAGAGCAAGGGGAGAAGGGACCATCAGCACCCAGGGGATGAGCATGGGGATGGCACATCATCCCGCAGGGAACCAGAGCAGCCAGAGTCCAGGCAGGTGAGCAAAGAGCTTGGCCCACCTTCCAGTGTCCACCTGGGGCCCCGGACAGGGTTGGAGTGGAAGGGATGAAGCTGTGGAACAAAGTATGTGGGAGGTGGAGAGCACCAGAGCTCCTTGAGGGCCAGGTTTGGTGTCTCCATCCCTGCAGAAACATCACCAGAGATGCAACAGGGAGCAAAGTGGCCATGCCACACTGACTGGGGAGGGAGCTGGTGAGGAACAGCCTCTCTCTGGTGGGGTCAAGTCTTTCCCCAGTCTACTGAGGAAGACTGGGGAAAGGCTTGTCCAAGGCTAGGCTGGACAGGGCTTTGAGCAACCTGGTCTAGTGGGAGATGTCCCTGTCAAGGGCAGGGGTTAGAACTAGATGATCTCTAAGGTCCCTTCCAACCCAAACCATTCTATGACTGTGTCGTAAAAACTCATTATTTATCCCCTTTGTCTCATCCTGCACATCCCCACCAGAAGCTCCTTGGGGCAGGGCTGCAGCTTCTCATAAGTCCATACAAGAAAACACACTCCAGGTTATCTGGGGCTTTCTGGCACCACCCAGAATATCGTGGTGATGTTATCATTCATTTTAATGCACCTCAAGATGTTCTGTCTTCAAAAGTTACCCAGCTCCAGCTCCACTGGCCCAGATCCATCCCTCCAGTTTGCTCTGGTGTCCGATGCCCAACAGGAGCTCTCAGGCTGGGACCCCTGCACTGAGCAGGGACCTTTCTGCTGCCCTTGACCAACCAAACCCCACCAGTTTACTCCTTGCCATGGCCTGCATACCTACTAAAAAAAGCCCTTAAAGCCTTTTAGAAGGTTTTTCAAGCTGTTCAGGGTCTCTAAGCCTTTGCTGAAGGCACTCACATGTCGAGACATGATCCTGTCTCCCTTTGGTCTTGTCTTTCTTCTTCGAAGCATCCCAGCCTTCAAAGAAGCTCTGTAAGGAAAGGATGGCCATCAGGACCTGAGGGCAGGACTTTGGGGTCCTCCTCAGCCCCATAACCCTGAAGGAGGACAGGCAAGGTGGTCCCTCCACCCCAACACACCAGGTTCTGCAACCCCAGCTCCACAGCACGCTCTGCCAGCTCCACGCTTCTGTTGCATCCACAAAATGCCCCATTTTCAGCAAATTACAGACTGCCTGGTTTTGTTTTTTTTTTTCCCAGGGTTGGCTGTGGTATTTTTTTCCTAAACCTCCCCAGTCCATTTCTCTCCCCAGCACAGAATAGGTTTGTGTGTAATAGCAGTAACATTCATAGATTGGCGTAAGAGGAGGAAAGTGGAAGGAAATTACATGTTTTCTCCCCTCCCATAATATCTGAGTGCTTTCAAATGACTAGTTCCAAGAACATACAGCAGCTTTTCAAGGAGCACTAATGATTATAGCAAGCCCTGGTTTGTCCAATACATGAAAGGAGGGAAGGGGGGGAAGGAAAAAAAAAAAAAAAAAAAAAAAAAAGCCTCCTGCACTTGAAACAACTAAGCATTAAACAGTAATTTCCCTGGGAAATTTCAATTGCCAGACCTGTGGGACACTGAGGAGTCAGGAAATCAACCCCACCGGGCACGCTGCGGCAGAGGCGCGCGGAATAACGCGCTCCGTTACAAGCACCGCAGCCCAACGAGGTGGGATGGGCACCACGCGGCCAACGACCCTCTCGGGGGGACTTCCCTCCCCCCGGGATCACCCTCTCCTGCATCCTCTCCCTGGAGTGTTGACTCCCAGGAGGATAGGGAAGCTTTGCAAGAGGATCTAGATAGATTGGATCACTGGGCCAAGGCCAATGGGATGAGTTTCAACGAGGGCAAGTGCAAGGTCCTGCACTTGGGCCACAACAACCCCCTGCAGCGCTACAGGCTGGGGGAAGTGTGGCTGGAGCTGCCTGGAGGAAAGAGACCTGGGGGTTCTAGTTGACAAACGGCTGAATATGAGCCACAGTGTGCCCAGGGGGGCAAGAAAGCCAATGGCATTCTGGCTTGTATCAGAAATAGTGTGACCAGCAGAAGTAGGGAGGTGATTGTGCCCCTGTGCTCAGCACTGGTGAGGCCACACCTTGAGTGTTGTGTCCAGTTTTGGGCACCTCAATCCAAGAGAGATCTCGAGGTGCTGGAGCGAGTGCAGAGGAGGGCAATGAAGCTGGTGAGGGGGCTGGAAAACAAATCATATGAGGAGCGGCTGAGGGAGTTGGGGCTGTTTAGTGTGAGGAAGAGGAGGCTGAGGGGAGACCTCATCACTCTCTACAACTACGTGAAAGGACACTGTAGAGAGGTTGGTGCTGGTCTCTTCTCACAGGTAATTAGTGACAGAACGAGAGGGAACGGCTTCAAGCTCCAACAGGGTGGGTTTAGACTGAACATTAGGAAGGAATTTTTCACCGAAAGAGTGGTCGGGCATTGGAACAGGCTGCCCAGGGAGGGGGTGGAGTCCCCATCCCTGGCTGTGTTTAAGAGCCGTTTAGATGCAGTGCTGAGGGACATGGTGTAGGGGAGGACTTTGTAGAGTAGGGGAGATGGTTGGACTCGATGATCCCAAGGGTCTCTTCCAACCTAGACCATTCTATGATTCTATGATTCTTCATGGTCTCGGGAGCTGCCAGGCTGTAGAGGATTTGCTCGTCCTTAGACTATGGCCATGCTTAGCACAGGACAAGAGTGTTGGAGAGCAGAAGAACATGCCATCGTGGTGCCCAGGAGGACGTGAGAAAGGGAGAAGCTTCCCTGGGCCCTGTGGGAGAGGCGGGATGACGCACTGCAGACGGGAGAGGTGAAGGCTGGCAGAGCTGGGTTGGCTCATCTTCGAGGACCTGTTCAAGCTGTTCCCACACCGTATCTTGAAATCCTGAGCTGCCAGGACCACAGATTCAATCCAGACCCTGGGGCATCCCACATACTGATGACGTCTGCCCAGAGATCTTGGGAGCTCCAGAGCACTGCAGCTCCAGGTCTGGAGCACCTTCTCCTTGCAGACAGATCCTACCCTACCACTTTCTCCATCCTACCTCCCACCCTTCCCAAGACTTCACCGCAGGATGCTCTCACCTCGTACTCCTGCTTGAAGCCATAGCCTTCTGCTGTCTTCATCTGGTTGATATGCTGGAGGAGATCTGCCACCCGGACGGCGGGATGGAGCTGCCCGGTGTGATATGGGGACCCTTTGCGGCCGCACTGGCGGCGGGGAGAACCCCCCAGGAGGCTGCTGGACTCGTTGACCACGCTGCTGCGCTGGTCACCTGCAGAAGGAGAGGGAAAACCGGGGGCCGTTAGGGGAGCAAAGCCGTGGACCTCATCCCCCTTGCACCCACAGAGAAGGGACAAGAGGGCAACAGGAAACATCCCCAGGAGATACTGGTGCTGCAGCTGGTCCCTCTCTGGGGACCATGAGTGGTCCAGACCCGCCCTGTGATCTCTGCAGCTCTTCCTAAAAAGCTGGCAATGCCCATTACAGCCTTATAGGGTCACCGCAGATTTCTTAGAAATCAGTGGGCAAGATCTTAAGGGGCTTAAATAAATTTATTTCCCCCAATTAACTCCCATCCAGACGAGTAAGAGCTACGTGCCCAAATATCCCCACAAAGTCCCGCCTTGAAAAATCATGTTGCCAACGTCTCCAGCCCAGCTTAACAGTTAATTTTCCTCGCTGCTAGAAACCAGCGCCTTATTCCTAGCCCTGACACAAATGGAGCTGGCTGCTGTTTAATGGGGGAGTTTATGCAGTATTTACCTGGTTTATGCCTTTGCTGTGTAATTACCAGCAGAGCCAGCGTTAAGGCCTCGCCTGCGTTTTGTCAGGACACGTTCCCACACCGGATCCTCAAATCTTGGGATTGCACAAAAACCCAGATTGATGCTCTCCGCCGCTGCCAAGAGATGCGGCAGGCACGGATCCTGCAGCAGCCAGCCTGCAACGCCAGCCACGCGCTGCTGGATGCAGTTTTCCCTCAAAAACACTTCTAAAAACCGCCCTTGCAGCGTCCCTCACCCCCTGCCTCCACCTCCTCGTTGCCAGTGCAACGTGGAAGAAATATGGGTGCAATAAGGGGGGCAGCACCCGCACCCAGCAGGGTCTCCATCAGGAATCACAGACACCCCCCCCAGGAGATGATGCTCCAACCTTTGTATCTGGAAACATCTCCCCTCCCAACGCACAGGACAGCACGGAAGGGTCACCCTGCACCCCAGGGCATGGCTGGTGGGCAGGCTGGCTGCTGGATTTAATGAGAAATTAATTGTAGGCATCGCCAAGGTGCTGACGGCTCCGCGCAGCCCCACGCTGAGGACCTGCTTGTCTTTCCACGAGAAGCATCAGTGACTTCTTTTAAAGGCAAAGAAACTGAGGCACGGTGGGGGAACAGCCCCCGGCCCGTCACGCAGCAGCCCGTTCATTTACCTTCATTAATTAATGATGCTTACAGGCAGGGGTGGCTGTGGTAGCAGCCGTCCCCAGCTGTGGCAGAGAGCCTGAGCTCCCGCATCTCCTCTGCCAAGGAGAGGGATGAGGAGTCACCAGCAGGAGAGAAGGTGGGAGCAGGATCCGACCCTCAAGAAACCGAGGACCAGCAGCCCCAGCTCAGCCCACTCAGCCCCACCAGCCTACGAGCGTTTTGAGGACAGTAACCGAAAAATAATAAACCTAGCTAGATGTATTAAGAGGAGGAAAAGTTTGCCCTCTGGGCTTCTATTATCCACGAGACAATGCCGGGAAGCGTATTAATCCCGCAGCCGGTGGAGAAGAGCTGTGGGTAAGCAGCATCTTGAAGTTACTGTAACAGATGTTATTAGCATATGGTTGAAACTGGGGCATCCAACGAGTTATTTTACAACTAAATCAGCACGGAGATGCATACTCCAGTGGGTGTTAAATTATCAGTCTCCCTCTGATGTGAACGCCGTGGCTCTTTAACCCTCCGAAGCCCAGGGCTCTGCAGAACATCAGGCAGCAAAGCCGTGCCACGCTCAAGGCTGGTGTGAAGCTTTCAACCTCAACTTAGGCCCAAGAGTTGGGGTTCACCCAGCTCCAGGGGGCTGCAGGCAGTGTTGGAGGTCGTTTCCAGGCTGCAAAGGGTCTCAACCCTCCCAGCCACCAGCTCCGATCTCCGCTTCAAGAAGCTGAGATGAAGAGACCCAACTCAAGCTGGGGTTGATAACCCATAGGGTTGTCAAGCATTGGACCAGGCTGCCCAGGGCAGTGGTGGAGTCACCATCCCTGGAAGTATTTAAAAGCTGGGCAGACGTGGTGCTGAGGGACATGGGTTAGTTGGGGCTCTTGTCAGTGCTGGGTTGATGGTTGGACTCGATGATCTGAAAGATCCCTTCCAACCAAGACCATTCTACGATTCTAAGCTGCCCCAAAAGTGTTTTTCCTCCAGCAAAATGTGGATGATAATAAAAGCTACTACAGACACCGATTAATGCCCTTGGAGGTTTACACAGGGCACGGAAAAGCCTGCAACGCGCCACGCACATCCAGCTAAAATAGATGCAGTACCCGCTACTGAGCCTCAGATAAATATTTTGGCTGTTTCTGGGACATTTAGGGATTATCTGGGACCCTTGCTGTGACAGGGGAGATGCTGCAGTTCTCCATCCTTACCCCGGTTGCTGTAGTTGTGGGTGTCCATGAAGGAGAGCCCCAGGCGCTCGTCCTCCTGCAGCGTGCTCTGGTCGGTGAAGCTCCTGTCGATGGCACTCATCATGTGCGTCTTCTCGTGGCGGTAGTTAATGGTGGCTTTGGTCATGTTGACAGGTTTTCTGCAGGGGGATGCAGAAGGGAAGAAGGGCACATCAGCAGAGCTGATCCGATGGTGCTGTAACATCCCCCCCAAAGCTACCAAGCTCAAATTATTTCAGGGAGCAAGATGGATTATTTCCACCATCATCGTGCTTTGGTTTTCTGGTGCCCCAAGCTGGTCACAGCCCCACCATGGATCATCCCTCACCGGCTGCAGCAACTCCAGCTGCTCACCCTCAGTGTCATCCAATGGACCATCCAACACACCACATCCATCACTGCTGCTCAGCATGAGCACAAGAAGCAGAGAAAAGACATGGAGCTGGTGGAGTGGGGTCAGAGGAGGCCATGGAGATGCTGGGAGGGGGGGCTGAGAGAGTTGGGGGGTTCAGCCTGGAGAAGAGAAGGCTCCAGGGAGACCTTCGAGCCCTTTCCAGTACCTCAAGGAGCTCCAGGAAAGCTGGGGAGGGACTCTTGGTCAGGGAGGAGGCCATAGGAGGTTGGCCCAGGTTGGCCAGAGAAGCTGTGGCTGCCCCATCCCTGGAGGGGTTCAAGGGCAGGTTGGAAGGGGCTTGGAGCAACCTGGGCTGGTGGGAGGTGTCCCTGCCCAGGGCAGGGGGTGGCACTGGGTGGTCTTGAAAGGTCCCTTCAAACCCCAACCAATCTATGATTCCAAAACCATGCCAGGGGGGCAAACCCATCCCAAGGGACAGGCTGGACCCCATGACTTCACAAGTGCTCAGCACCTGCCAGGGAGGATTTTTTCCCCTTGTCCAAGGACCCCATTAGGCACCAAATGAAGATGCTGGGAAAGCCCAGGAGCTCTCGCTGGAACAGAACCTCACACCTCAAATTTGAAACATTCAGGCGAAAAAAAACCCAACAACAGATTGAGTGTTTTTGAGAGGCAGCATCAGGCTCCCAAAAAGTCAGAGCAGGGATTAAACCAGAGGAAGGATGAACAGGAGATCTGAGCCCACGTGGGCATCTTGGTGGGGCCAGGACACTGCAGGACGCTGCCAAAATCCAGATAATTCAACCCAGAGTTGCTGACCCTTCCCGTTTACGCTGCCTTCAGTGTCTGAAGAGCTCGGCAGCCTTATTTTCCTCAAGCCAAAGAGAATGTACTCGGCAGAGAAAAGGAGTTGTTGGAGCAGCAGGGCAAGGGGGCGGCCGGGAGGAAGAGCGAAGGAGAGAGAGAATGACAATTACTTACGGGTAATAGGAATAAGAATAGTAGTTCCTCCTGGCAAGCGTGCAAACAAAGAGAACAGCAAAAATTGCATAAGCAGCTTTTCTCCAGCATAGGGAAGGAGGGGGGGGTGTTACAGGGCAACTCGGCTGCTGGAAAAATAAATGCACCGTAAAGAAACCTGGTTCCCTTTTAGCATCCTTAGGTTAATTACTCCGGGCTGGAGCAGGCATCCCAGCAGCAGAGCCCAACACTGGCTCTCAGGGTGACCAGGGTCCCCACGCCGGTGTGGGGTGTCCATAGCACCCTGGTCTGAGGGGTTTCACTGAATTTCACTGAATTTTAGAGTTGGAAGGGACCATAGAGATCATCTAGTCCAACTCCCCTGCTGAAGCAGGATTGCCTAGAGCTTGTCAGAGCATGTTACTCAGGAGCATCCAGGTGGGTCTTGAAAATCTCCAAGGAAGGGGACTCCACACCCTCCCTGGGCAGCTTGTTCCAGGGTTCTGTCACCCTCACCGTGACACACCGTTATTGCACAATTTTTAAGACTCAACACCAAACGTGTCCAAAATGTAGGGCATTTCCCAGGTAGATGGTCAGGGGCCGAGCCACCCCAGCGGGAGAGATGGGGTCAGGATGTTGCATTCCTTCATTAGGGGTGAGGGAATTCCAGGGGTGCATTTCCACTCCCCCACAGCAGTGTTTTTCCAACGGCGAAACACTCCGGAGGAGATTGATGAGCTCATCCCAGCTTCCCAACAGCCCCAAATTCAGAGCCCTCGGCACTGATTTGCGGCTCCGGTTTGTCCTTGGACAGGTTCACGCCGGGAGGATGAAGCAAAGCAGCTCCTCCTCCTCCTCCTCCTCCTCCTGCTACCCCGCAGCACGGGCAATGGGAATGCAGCAGTCGCCCTCCCGGCTTCCCACCCGCCGACCCAACGGCATCGCTCCCCAAAACACATCTGTACCACATTTGCTCCATCAGGGACGGATCCGATGCCGTATTCCCGGGCATCATCCCAGAGCAAGGGCGGGCAGGGAGCCACGAGCCAGCCCTGCACCCCTGGCAGCGCGCAGGGACGCTACAGCCTTGCTCTTCCAGCCGGAGTAAATCAGCAGGAATCCTTCCAGGGCGAAGGAAGCCACAAAGAGATCTGCAGATTTACACGGGCTGAGCTTCTGCCCTGCTATTTTTCTCTCTCCCCCCCTGGCTCTTTACATACTTTCCTCCCATCATCCCGAGCCCTGCACGGGGAAGGCGTGTAATTGCTGCCCTTTCTCTCCTTCCTTTGAGAGCCCCCCCCTCCAACTCGGTGCTGCCTGGAGCCCCCCACGGCACGAAGCCGCTTTCCAGGACGCTGAGCCCGAGTGAAAAGCATCAGTCGCATCCCCAATGCTCCTGGGGATGAGTGTCCCTAAAAGCCCTCACTCTCCTCCCTCCCACCCCGCCGTGATGGCCACAGTCACATCCACACACTCATCTCCCCGAGAGCAGGGACCCCCATGGGGCTGGGAGAGCAGTTTGGGGGTCCCCAGGGACCATCAGCCCTGGGAAAACCTCCCCTCTCCAGCGTACACCCAAATTTTAAAGACTCATTTAGAGCCATCTGGAGGCTCTCAGCCAGGGATTGCTCACATTTCACTGGAAACTTGGTGGTTCCCATTAAAACAACTCCAGGAGGATGCGGGATGGTCCGAGCACCCGCAGGCCCTGCCCAGCCCCAGAGGAAGGGGAGATGCTGGTCTCCCAACACTCTTGAGGAACTGGAGCCCAGAAGAAGACTCAGAGTCTGCTCAGGTATTCCAGCAGGACACACACACTACGCTGCTTTCCAGGAAAAAGCCATGGATGGAATTTTTTCTGGCCATCTCCCCAGAACCTCTCAGTGCCGGGAGGTGCTGGGCGCTCGCTCACCATCTTGGGGGAGCTTGGCAGAGGGGTGACAGCAGAAAGGTGCTTTCTCCTCCTCCCCATCTCCAGGAATGCCAGCTGGATGCAAGGGAAAGGTAGGTGGCCCCATCCCTAGCCCACCCTGATGACAGGGGACCGGCAGGGCCAGCCCCCAGCCAGCAGCGCTCATGAGGATGGATCTGGCCCTGGGCTGGCCAAGGCAGCAGGGAAGCCCAGAGACACCATCTCAGAGCAGATAAAGCTGATTTTTGTCATTTTGGGCTGGAGAGGTAGAGGGCTGCACCTCCCAGGGTCCCTGGCTGCTTTTAGCAAGGGGAAAGCTGGTGGGACAGGGACAGCCAGGCTCAGGGACAGCCCAAGGCCCCATCCTGGCCAGAAGCATTTGCATCAATGAATCGACAGAGCAGCACAAAGCCAAGAAGAAGCAGAGAAAGAGGCAAAAGTCTGAAAAATAGCAGGGAAAGGGACAGTGGAACAAAGCTGCACAGCCCCAAAGGCTCCCAGGACTCTGCTCCTTGGTTCCCAGTGTTCCCAGTGCCTCCTGCCGTGCCGGGAGTCACAGAGCAAGGAGGGGACCGTGCCTGGTGGGATGCAGGAGAGCCTGGAGGCACAGCTCGAGGAAGGATTTGCAATCTACCCAGCGCAGCAGTATCACCACCAGTAACTCCCAGTTAGCACTGGGGTGGTGGAGAAGGGCAGAACTTAGAGGAGGGGACGGATGGAGGTACCAGGTCTCCTTACCCTTTCCGAATGACGACGATGATGGCTCCCAGGAGGATAATCAGGACGATGAGCCCTCCGGCACAGATGCCCAGGATCAGGCCCATCTCCTCCGAGTGCTGCGACACCTCCAGGGGACGTTTGCTCTCCTTGCAGGCGGCTGCCAGGGGACAAGGACAAGGCAGGAGGGGTCAAGGCTCAGCTCCAAGGGGAGTTTGGGCAACATCAGGTGGCAAAACACTGGGATTTGTCCCATGGGACAAATTTTATTCCACCGAGATGCTACAGGGCTCTGCAGTGCCACACTGTGACCGTGGGCGAGTCCCTCTCTCCGTTCCTGTGGGGTGAGATGGTCCCGTTGTGTCACTTTTTGTCACACCCAACATCAGATTGCCCATCCCCAGGTTCAAGCATCCAGCACCATCGACTCCAACCTCCCACCTCGATAATGGCATTAAGAGGAAAACCACAGCCAAGGGGAAAACCCAGCCACCAAGGAAAGGGGGAATGGGGTTGTAATAACCCACCGGGTGCCCCCCGACCACCGCCAGCACTGGTACCGACACTGGTACCAACACCAGTACCAACACCAGTACCAGAGCAGCCACAGGTTTGGGTCCTGGGAAGGGGAGGACTCACCTTTTCGGGCGATCCGGACGCAGTTCAGCCGGGTTTCCTAGGGAGGAAAGAAAAAAGTTGGGTGGTCAGTGTTGGATCAACATTCCGGCAGCTCCGCTCCCCGCTCCGAGCCAGGCTGGGCAGACACAAGGCTGGTCCATTGGTGTTTCGACCCCCAAATGGAAGGATTTTGCAGGTGATTTGTGCTGCAGCACCCACGGCTGAGCCCAAGGAGCTCCTGGGGACACACAGCTGAAGAGATGCTGCTCAATGATCTGTCCCCAGCGTCCCCATAACCAGCGTCCCCAGGTTCAGCCAAGACCATCACTCCTGGCACAGAGGGGACGACAGAGCTCAAGATCATCGAAGAAGGGACCCAGCCGAGCTGCAGGTCACCAGCACGTCACCAACCACAGCTCAAACTCTGACAGATCATCACTCAGAGCTTCAGGAGGTTCTTTTCCATCGAAGTTTTCCAGCCCCAGTGCTCTGCGCGTGCTGCCGAGGTTGCCGCGAGGGCTTCCAGCTCAGGTCTCCAAGAGTTCTAGCATTTGCATTTTTAGGGATGGGTTCAGCTAAAATATTCCGTCTTTCCATGTATCCAACTTCTGTCACAAAATAAAAAGCACTGGTTGGGCAGGACTGCCTTCTTCCCCCAGCATTCTCCAGCCCCTCAGGACACCAGTGCTGACAACGTTGCTCCATCCACCCTCAGACCACAACCTGCCCATCCAGCCTGCCCAGGACACAGCCAGCTCCGGCACCGGAGGTCACCAGCTCTTGCTCCTCCTGCTTCTTGCTCCATCTGGCACGAAAACCACAAAAAAAAAAACCCCAAGCTGGGAATCCAGCTTTTTCCTGACGTCTGACAGCAGCCGGGACAAATCCAGTGCCTCCCAGCAGGAAGGCTATAAAACAGCATCAGCCAGGAGTTATTATCCAGCAGTGCCCGAGCGAGCCACGGCCGAGATCCTCCTTGTCCCTCTCAGCTGTAATTACAGCCCAGCGAGGTGTGAACGATCCCGGAGCGGAGAAAAAGACTCAAAAAACCAGCATCTTTCTGGCAAAACGGAGCGGTGCAGGATGAGGATTGCTGTGGCCATCACAGATGAGGATGCTGCAGCCGTCCTGATGCTTCACTTCCATGGTTCATCCTCTCTGGGGTGGGATGGGAGCTGGTGAAGGGTCCCCAGAGAGTCCCAGTGTCCCAGTGACTCCAAAGAAATCAGTCCAGGGGATGCAGGGGATGACACCGGAGCAGGGCTGTTACGGCTTCTCTGCTGGGTTGGCAGTGGGGACAAGTAACACACAGCTTTTCCAGCCCAAACGGTCCTTTTCCAGCCCAAACGGTCCTTTTCCAGCCCAAACGGTCCTTTTCCAGCCCAGAATTAGCCCTGGGAAGGTGGTCTCCCCCCCACTGGTGCTGGTTGGGGTCCCAGGCAGTACCACACGTGCGATGGAGGCTGGGCTCCATCACCCCCACATTTGGGACCGGGACAGGGACAGACACAGCCCAGGGGTGCCAGAAGGAGGTGGGACATTCATCCCCATTCCCAATGTGCCACAAGGGTAGCCCCAAGCACCAGCTCCCCCTGGGTTGAGCCCAGAGGGAGGGGGATCTAAAACACGTCTCATTTTTAATTACAGTCTTCCCAGGTCCCCAGGGGGGTTCCTTCTTGATCCAACCAGCACCCCAGACACAGACACCCCACTGGTGTCCCACAGCTACTCACCCCTTTGAGGTTGCTCATGGCTTGGAAGTAGATGAGATACGCCTTCTTGGGCTCCAGTGGTGGGTTCCAGTAGCCGCTGTAGGTCTGGTTGTCCCCCACGGTGAAGGGTTTGGCTTCGGTGAGGCTGCTGGCGGGCAGCTCAGCCCCAAAATAGTGCACGGAGCCCCGGGACACGGCGTCATCGAAGGTGAGCGGCACTGGGAAGCACTCCTGCCCACCCAGCTCCCGCTTGAGCTTCTTGGGCCGGTCTTCTTCTACAATGACCTGGTAGGTGCTGGTGAGGACCAAGCACAGGTTAGCTTCATGAAAAGGATGGTCCTGCTCTTCTCTCCCCACCATCCATGTCGTGCCACCTGGTTTGTGGGGGTCTCACCCTCACACAGCCCCAGCCAAGAATCATGGAATCATTCTGGTTGGAAGGGACCTTTAAGATCATCCAGTCCAACCAATAACCTAACACTCACAAAAGCCCCACTGATCCATGTCCCTCAGCACCACGTCTGCCTGGCTTTCAAATACCTCCAGGAATGGTGACTCCACCACTGCCCAGGGCAGCCTGTTCCGATGTCTGACAACCCTCTCAGGAGAAGACATTTTTCCCAATCTCGCCTGTTCCAATGTTTGACAACCCTTTCAGGTGAAGACATTTTTCCCAATATTCATCCCAAACCTCTCCTGGAGCAACTTGAGGCCGTTTCCTCTTGTCCCATCGCCTGTTCCTTGGGAGAAGAGACCGACCCCCCCTGGCTACACCCTCCTTTCAGGGAGTTGGAGAGAGTGAGAAGGTCTCCCCTCAGCCTCCTTTTCTCCAGGTTGAACACCTCCACCTTCCTCAGCCACTCCCCACAACTTCTCCAGACCCTTCTCCTTGGTCTCCAGACCCCTCACCAGCTCCATTGCCCTTCTCTGGACCCGCTCCAGCCCCTCAATGTCTTTTTTATGGTGAGGGGCCCAAAACTGGACACAGGACTTAAGGTGGGGCCTCACCAGTGCCCAGTACAGGGGGACGGTCGCTGCCCCAGTCCTGCTCACTCACCTGATGGGAGCCCCTCTGCCCTGCGCCGGCCGCAGCAGCACCGTGATGGTGCTCTCCGACTCACTCAGTGGTGATGGCATGTCCCCATAGTCGAAGGTGGGAGCTGCAAAGGGAGCAGGGGAGAGCGGGCAGGGGTGAGTCCTGGTCCCCAGGGATGAGTTTGGGGCTGCCCTCCTGCTCAGGGGGAAAACTGAGGCACGAGCAACCTTGCCCAGGGCAAAGCATCACCCATTGGTGTAACAAGGATTATCACATATAGAGAAAACCTTCTGGGTTGAGCAAACATCAAGGTTGGGAGAGGACCAAGGGGTTTTCAACCAAGGGAGGGGTTCAAGGTGGGGTTTCAATGCTGGGCTGGCAGAGGGGAGGAGATGGGAGCAGGATCTGACCTCAGCAGGACCCAGCCTTGAGATGGACCCCACCTGCCCGGACACGACACGGCGTGAGCACCTAACCCAGGGCAAAATCACACCCAAGCCAGCCCAGCAGCACCCCCAGAGCAAAGTGGGGGACCCTCCTGTGCCCGGCCCAGCCCCATGGTCCCCAGACCATCACTGGCAGCCACTGGGGTCTGGTTCTCATCGCTTTGCAGTTTCACAGAATCACAGAATCACAGAATCTTAGTGGTTGGAAGGGACCTCCGAGATCATCGAGTCCAACCACAAAAAAAAAAAAAAAAACACCAAAAAAAACACACAACCACACAACCACCACAAAAACAACAAACCCAAAACCACCACCCACCAACTAAACCCCACACCCACAACCCCACATACTACACCCCACCACAAACCTATAATCTCGGGCACTAGAGCATGCCCTGAAGAGCCACGTCTACACGTTTCTTAAATCCCTCCAGGGATGGTGACTCCACCACCTCCCTGGGCAGGCTGTTCCAGTGCCTGACCACTCTTTCAGTAAAGTAATTCTTCCTAATATCTAATCTGAATCTCCCTCACCGCAGCTTCATACCATTTCCTCTGGTCCTGTCATCATTCCTTTGGGAGAAGAGGCCAACCCCCACCTCTCTACAACCTCCTTTCAGGGAGTTGTAGAGGGCAATGAGGTCTCCCCTCAGCCTCCTCTTCTCCTTTCAGTGCCCCCATTAGGACTCATCTCAGCCCATTTGCTGTGGTTAATAGCAACACCACGGACACAAGCAAACAGCCCCAAGGCTAATTAACAAAGCCCAATTAATCCTTTGCTTGTAGGCTGATAGCTCAGACAGCACCAGTGCACCGAGCTGGCCAGAATCCCCAGCCAGAGACCCACAGGCAGCCCAGCTAATGGGTTTGGGGCTACCTTGGGGGGTCACAGCATGGCTGCCACCACCAAGAGCATCCTTCAGTAGCAGCATCAAGTCACCAAAAATCCATGGAAGGCTCCGGCACCACCATCATTCACCCCTGCAGAGGAGAAGCACCAGGTGTGGAGCCTGGAGGAACCTACCGGAGATGTTGGTGGTGATCTCGGTGAGCGCCGTCTGGCCAAAGCCCTTGCCGGTGCGGGCCCGCACCGAGAAGAGGTAGGTGGTGCCGGGGTGGAGGTTGGAGAAGACGTGGTAGGTCTCGTTGCGTAGTTTGGAGACGGTGCGTCGCGGGCCGGGCACGTTGACGGCCGGGTCGGAGGACTCGATGCTCTGGTAGCTGATCTGCAGGGACAGGGCAGAGCATCAGCAGTGGCCACAGGAGAGGGGAGAGACCCCGGATCCGGGCGGAGAAAGGGTTAAAGGGATGGATTCAGAGGAGGGATTGGTCACAGGAACAGTCTGGAAGGCGGATGCTTTTTGGGGTAACGCAAAAGCAGAGGATCATCGGAAAAGCCGTTGCTGGATGATAGTGGTGACCCCAAATCAGGACACCCCAACAGGGACAGACCCTGCTAGAGGGATCCGTGCTCCAAAGGAAAGGCTCGGGGGCACCAATAATGCTGCAGGTGCCTTTCATCCCCCCAACCAGCAGTTGTCCCAGATGTCCCTCATTGTGTTCCCCTGGGGAACCCTCCTGTGTCCCCCTGGGTCCCCCACAGGTGCCACAGCCAGCCAGGCCATACCTCGTACTGCGTGATGAGCCCATTGGGCTCCACTGGTTCCTCCCACTTCAGAAATATCATGTCCTCCAGCGGGGTGAAGGTGAGGGACTCCGAGGCGATGCCGCCGGGCACTGGGGAAGGAAAGGGGACATGCTCGGATGCAGCAAGAAACCGGGATGGAAGGATAAATCCTCTGGGAAACCCCTCCAGGAGGCTGCCGTGGATCTCCCCCATGACCAAGCCACCGTGTCCCCTCTGCCACGACACCCAGCTCCAGCACGTACCAGAAATGATGCTCCCGAGGGGAATGATGCTCCCAAGGGGAATGATGCTCCCAACCCATTGGTGATACTTCACCGCAGCAGGAGGCCCCCATGCCACAGCACAAAGCCCCCAGGTACCACTTCTGGCATCACACCCAGCTTCCAACAGCACAGCAGCAAGTCCCCACACACCGTCCCTGTCAGAGCTGACCCGAATTCACCGGTGTGAGGAAAGGGAAAAAATAATTCTCTTTCCCCATGGAACCCAAAAACCTTCCCCAGAGCCACCAGCATCCTCAGGAGATGTTGCCAGCACCATCTCTGGTGAGCAATAACATCCTCATCTGCAGACAGGCTCGACATGCCCCCACCTTCCCCTCTAATTAACACCACCAACAATAATAACCGCAAACAATAACAGCGATCGACAGCACCGGGATCAATATCCACTTCTTTTCCATGGATTTCTTGGCCCGAGGGGGCCAGCGAGGAGAGGCCACGGCCCAGCGAAGACCAGGATTCACCAGCAGCATCCTCTGCTGTGGGATCCTACGCCCAAACCCCTCTCCTTGCAGAGATTTTTCGCCCTTCCCCTCGATTTTTCTTTTTTTGCAGGTTTTGTTCAGCTCTAATTACGGGCCCGAGCGAGAGGCATCGCCTCCCGCGCGCTTCCCACCGTGCAAATACACAATTTCCACTTGATTTACAAGTTAATTTAATCAGAGGCGCCGTGTCCTACACGTGTACACAAGGCGCTTATTAAATTCGCGGAGAATTACAGAAACCTTTAGGGCAGGAACATGTATATAGAAATTTATAGATATATATAGTCTATATACTTATATATATATAGGTACAGGCACCACGTGGCTGTGCATACACCAGGATAAGGCTGGGAGAGGTACACAACAGCTCCCACGTGTGTGTACACCCCTCTGCCGTCCCTATCTCCATGGATATATTTATTTATACATTTATATATAGTTATTCTCGCTCGCATTGCGTGCGCCCTGCCTGCTCCCTGCAGCACCATCACACTGCAATACTTCCACGGGCACCTGGGATTGAGTCTCATTGTCTCATGCACAGCCCAAAATCTCCAGCCGTGGGTCACCGACCTTCCCCAGATCTATATGGGGCACTTAAACACCCGCTGGGCAACCTATGGATGGGGCACCCTCTTCTCCTGGTGTCCTGCCCAGGACTTTATCCAGGGTCCAAATGGGATGCTGTGAACAACACCCTCGGTTCAGCCCAGTTATTAATGCTATTCTCCTGGTGTCCTGCCCAGGACTTTCTCCAGGGTCCAAATGGGATGCTGTGAACAACACCTTTGGTTCGGCCCAGTTATTAATGCCCCAGAAATGGGTTTTCCAGCCTAAAAACAGGGTTTATCTCCCAGGATGGGGGTGCAGCCCACACCAGGATCCCACTGGAGATAAACCCCAGCTGATGCTGCAACCAAAGCTGCCCTCCTGCCAAAATAAACCACAATCAAAGGTCATAGAATCATCTAGGCTGGAAGAGACCCCCGGGATCATCAAGTCCAACCATCTACCCTACTCTAAAGTTCTCCCCTACACCATATCCCCCAACACCACATCTCAACGGTTCTTAAACACAGCCAGGGATGGGGACTCAACCCCCTCCCTGGGCAGCCTATTCCAGTGTCTGACCACTCTTTCTGTGAAGAATTGTTTCCTAATGTCCAGTCTAAACCTACCCTGGCACAACTTGAACCCATTACCCCTTGTCCTGTCATCTGTAACTTGGGAGAAGAGACCGACCCCCACCTCTCTACACCCTCCTTTCAGGGAGTTGTAGAGAGCAATAAGGTCTCCCCTCAGTCTCCTCTTCCCCAGACTGAAGGTCCCATTATTAAGGAGCCTTCACCACCTTCACTTAATTGCACGGGTGGCTGCTCATCACCCAGTTGTGGGAGCTCAAATCCTCATCACCCTCCCAGGCAGGGAGATATCTGCAATATTTCCATAGCTTGATCCCACCCGAGACTCAACGTATCCGCGGCTCCAAGTTCAACCCAAGGGGGAAGCCGCAAGCCCCGGTTAATCAAAGCACAGGGGAAAGCAGCTGGAGGGATTAGAGTAGAGCAAAAAACACATCTGGAGCTCCTGTATTAATATTCAGTAAGAAAACAGCTGGAGCAGTCACAGCACAGTGAGAACAGCTGAAGCAATTACAGCCGGAAAATAAACCGTCAGGAGCGTGAAGCTGGGTGCCCCCACTCGGGCAAGCTCAGGGTTGGGGATACAGAAAGTGCTGATGCGCAGAGAAAGGTGCTGAATTTTGGTTTTAGAGATGAAAACAGGACCCAGAGACCCTCCCAGCTCTGCTCCGTGGGTTTTGCTCCCCAGCCTGGGAAACGGGAGCGATGAGCAACACACAAATGCTGCACGTTTTTTGGTGGGTCCCAAATCATGATGGGTCCCAGGCAGGGGGGAAATTCACGGCAGGGTTCTCCTTGGGGGGTGTCCAGGGCACCTGGAGCCAGCTAGATCCTTAGCAATTATCAATTCTTCCACCTTAATTGCTGATTCTTGATGCTAAAAAGTGCTTTGGAGATTAATCATATTCTCATTTAACAGTAAGCACCGGTGACTTCCTGAGAGCCAGGGATGCTCTGGCCCCTCTCAGGACCAGCACCCACCTCGGGTACTGTGGGTCCTTGCAGCCCAACCACTGCTGCCCTCGTGGATGAGGAGGAGACCCCCAATGCCCCACCAGCTGCAGGACCAGCCATCACAGCAGCAGTTTTGGGGGGCTGCCCAGCTGTCCCTGAAGGCAACGGAGTCATCAGGCACACGGAGGAGATGATGATGGGGCAGCGAAAGGGATGGGATGAGGGAAAGGAGTCATCAGAAGGAGCTGCCAGGCCTGGATGTGGCCCGTCACTGATGGGTGGCACTGGAGGCACGGAGTCAGCTCTGCCCTGGACCTCCTCTCATATTGGCTGGATCTCCAGAGTCCAAAATGACCTGAGCACTCTGCTGATGCCACCACCAGGAACCACGGTGCAGGGTAAAGGCCAGGCCTGGAAGACCTCTCTGGTGGCCCCAGCTCCAGGACATCCTTGGGGAAGGTCTGGGCAAGAGATGCTCAACCCAGAAGTCCTGGAGCAGCACTGGAGCCTCCAGCGAGGACATCAGCCCTGCTTGGGTGCTGGCAGCGGGGACCCAACCTCAGGACACAGCCAGGACAGGGAGAAGAGAAAAGAAACAGCTCAGCTGCTCAGGAGCCAAGTTTCTGGCAACAAAGTGGGGCCAGACCCCCTCATCAACACACGCTCACCCACAGAGCTGGTGAGCACCACCAGAACCCACCCCAGAGCAAACCTAACTGGGGCAGAGCACTGGGGAAGCCAAGTGGAGCTGCACCAGGCTGTGGGTAACAGCGCTCTCCCAGAATCACCATAACGCCAAATTAATCGACGACCAAGCAGATGAAAAACATTACCTAAGTGCTAAGCATTGATTGCTTTAATTGTTATTATTATCACTGCTAGGCTTTGGTTCCACACTAAGGGATGAGCGAGGACGACTCGTGCTGGGAGAAGCCAGACATTGTCCCTTCACAGGACTGGGCACGGCTGAAAAGCTCCTCTTGAAGGGCGAGGGTGACATTTCTGCAGCAACGTAGGATGTTCCTCCCCCGGAGCAACCAGTGCTGCCCCGTCCCCATCCCATCCCTTCATCCCCACAAGCTGCTCCCAGCGTTTCCCTTCCCCAGCCACCATCATCGCGCCTTTCTCCCACCTCCCCTCACACAGCCCTGGGGCTCCATCTCCCTCTTCGCACCACGACCACAGGAGATATTCCCATCATGCCCTTGGCCAAGGGCTGATGTGCACCGTGTTACAGGAAACACCCCGACTGCTCACCAGCCACCGAGCCCTGTTTTTGGGGGACGAAGCACGTCCCCGAGCGGACTCACCATCCTCATCCGTCTGGAATATCACCTCCTTGCCCTCCTTGCGACCCTCGGGGTTGGAGAGGATGAGCTTGACGTGGATGTTCTTGTAGGGCAGGAGGTTCTTGATGGTGTAGCGGTTGGCGTTGCGCTCCATCTTGACGCACTCTCGGAAGGTTTGGTTGTGGCCGGTGCCCACGAAATAGCGGTAGCAGAGCGAGACGGTGTAGGTGTGACAGCGGGTCAGGTTGTAACCCAAGGGCTCCCACTGCAAGGTCAGCTGCCTGGACTGGATTTCGGAGAAAGCCAAGCCTTTGGGGGCCCGCATGGGCTCTGTGGGGGGGAAGAGAGATGGGGAGGGATGAGCGATGAAGCAAAACTGGTGGGCAGTAAAATGACAATGAGTAAACAGTGTGCTCTTGCGGCCAGGAAGGCCAATGGTATCTTGGGTTGTATAGGGAAGAGTGTAACCAGCAGGTCAAGGGAAGTCATTCTCCCCCTCTACTCTGCACTGGTGAGGCCACAACTGGAGTACTGTGTCCAGTTCTGGGCTCCCCAGTTCAAGAGGGACAGGGAACTACTGGAAAGAGTCCAGCGTAGGGCTACAAAGATGATTCAAGGATTGGAGCATCTCCCTTATGAGGAGAGACTGAGAGAGCTGGGACTCTTTAGTCTGGAGAAGAGAAGGCTGAGGGGAGACCTTATCAATGCCTACAAGTATCTCAAGGGAGGGATGAAGGAGGAGGGAGCCAGACTCTTTTCAGTGGTTCCCAGTGAGAGGACGAGGGGCAACGGGCACAAGTTGGAACATAAGAGGTTCCACTCAAATATGAGGAGAAACTTCTTCACGGTGAGGGTGACAGAGCCCTGGAACAGGCTGCCCAGGGAGGTTGTGGAGTCCCCTTCCTTGGAGATTTTCAAAACCCGCCTGGATGCAGTCCTGAGTAACATGCTCTAGCTCTGGGCAATCCTGCTTCAGCAGGGGAGTTGGACTAGATGATCTCTATGGTCCCTTCCAACTCTAGAAATTCAGTGAAATTCAGTGAAATTCAGTGAAAACACCTCGTGGGTTTATGTGTATTATCAGGAAAAGCCCTTTTACGGCACAAGAACAAGATGGGGGATGCAGACAGCACCCCTGGATTCAGTACAAGCTCTAAGGCAATCCTGCTTCAGCAGGGGAGTTGGACTGGATGATCTCTATGGTCCCTTCCAACTCTAAAAAATTCAGTGAGATTCAGTGAAAATTCAGTGAAAACCAGGACCAGCCCCAGCACAGGATGTGCCCCTTTCCAGACAGGGCTGGGGACATCACCGGGTCTCAAAGCCACCAACACGAGGGGGACACCAGCCCCTTTGGCTCATCTTCCCCTTTGGAGGTGAAGCCGGGTACCAGCCCTGGGCTGGCACAAGAGCCATGGTGGCCACCAGGAGCATCTGCACCACGAGTGGCCTCAAACCACCAGACAAACCTGCCCACGCAATGGGATCCCTTGTGTTTTCATCACGAGCCCCCGTTCAGGCTCTTGAAAGGACAGAGACCGAGTGCCATCGCCGGGAAGGAGTTTAATTAGCTCTAATTGGCGTGAACAGGAGAAGATGGATTTAATGAGGAGCGGAGCTCCTTTGCCAACAGCACACACACACACACACAAGTGGTTTGGGTTAAGGGCAGTAACTCCTCTCCGCACCCAAGGGTGGTGGGAAGGACCCCCAGAAGGATGGAGGGTCTTTGCTCGCCCCGACCCAGAGCTGATCCCCCAAGCGATTCCCCTGGGATTCATCTCATGGAGAAATTTGGGCAGATCAGGGGTGCAAGAGGCTTTTGCAACCTCAGTGGATGCTCCTGCGGGTCCCGATACCACAGTGGGACTGTGTAAAACACCAGCTGGTTTTGGAGGGGGTGACCATGGCCGTGGGGACCCTGGCATTAACCCCCTGCTGTGTCCAGCTCTGCTGGGACTGTGCAAAACACCAGCTGGTTTTGGAGGGGGTGACCATGGCCACGGGGACCCTGGCGTTAACCCCCTGGTGGTGAAACCCACCAAAGCTCAGCCCCGATGGCCACTGCCATCACTCCCAGCGGGTGGCCAAGGGGACAGGGACCTCCCCCCAAGTCCTCCAGAGCCCCCACACCTCCCTGGGTAGCACCATGTGGTGCCAGGCTTCAACCTTCCAAGTCCTCCAGAGCCCCCACACCTCCCTGGGCAGCACCGCGTGGTGCCAGGCTTCAACCTTCTCCTCTCCTTCTGATTCCAGTGTATTTAAATGCCCCAGGGGAGGGCCAGCAGCATGGCACCCAGGGCCAATGATGGCTGGTGGCACATGGCCATGTAGGGAATGTCTCCTTGGCCCAGAAGCTGCAGGAAGCACCTACCCAGCAGCTTTTTCCAGATCCTGCAAAGTATGGGAGATGCAGTGCTGGACAGACGGGCTGGTGGGGCTCAGAGGATGCTGAGGACCCCACCAAGGCCACTTTTCAGGTGAAGGAAGAGCGACTGTGTCACCATCTGCAAACCCACTGTGACCCAGGGGACACCAGAGAGAAAAAGCCATCCTTAGAGCACGTGGGAAGAGCCGGGGAAGCCTGAATGTGGCAACCATCAGGTATGAAATACAGGGCAACGAGAGCATCACCCAGCATCTGTCATCACCTCCAAGGCACTAGAGAAACCTGGGCTTCCCACAGCGCCTCTGAAAACCAATCTGGGATGAAAAGCTGCCGCCAGCCCCTCACCACGATGCCTGGGTCGGGGTGGGTATCACCTCCTCCATCCCTGAGCGCACCCATCTCTGAAGCCAACCCCGTTCATGAGGCTCCCCAAAGCCACAGCCACCGGGGACACCCCCACAGCCCTGGGGACACGGTGGTGCCGGGTCTCAGGGCGACCACAGCAGGACAATCCTGTGCTGCCTCCACGTCATCTCCTCCCCTTCCACTTGGCTCAATTACCGGCAGTTAAACCCCGGCACCAGGAAGGCGGTTGCCATGGAGTGTCTGAAACGCTGCCGCCAGCCCCACCGGGGACGGGGACATCCCTCAAGCTGGGTCACCCACCGCCCCCATAGGGAGACTCCCCCAATCACAGAATCAGAATCACAGAATCTTCTAGGTTGGAAGGGACCTCAAAGATCATCTTGTCCAACCGTCAACCTGACTGACAAAAATAGACACCCACACAACAAACAAGAAGCATCACCATCACTAAACCAGACCTCCCAACACTACATCAACCCCTCTTTTGAACACCTCCAGGGATGGTGCCTCAACCACCTCCCTGGGCAGCCCATCCCAATGGCTGATAACCCTTTCAGTGAAAAAATTTTTCCTAATATCCAGCCTGAACCTCCCCTGGGGCAACTTGAGGCCATTTCCTCTTGTCCTGTCGCCTGGGACTTGGGAGAAGAGACCGACCCCCACCTCTCTACACCCTCCTTTCAGGGAGTTGGAGAGAGCAATAAGGTCTCCCCTCAGCCTCCTCTTCTCCAGGCTGAACACCCCCAGCTCCCTCAGCCTCTCCTCACAAGACTTGTGCTCCAGACCCCTCACCAGCTTTGTTGCCCTTCTCTGGACCCGCTCCAGCACCTCGATGTTTTTTTTGTGGTAGGGGGCCCAAAACTGGACACAGCACTCAAGGTGAGGCCTCACCAGTGCCCAGTACAGGGGGACCATCACCTCTCGGGCCCTACTCGCCATGCTGTTCCTGATACAGGCCAGGATGCTGTTGGCTTTCTTGGCCACCTGGGCACACTGCTAGCAGGGCATCGAAAAAGTCCTACCCCCATCACCCCCCAGCAATGGGGACACCAGACCAACAGCGTGGGCACTGCTGGGGGGTCTTAGCCATGAGAAACCCCAGCCCCCCATTTCCCCAGGGACACCCCGAGGGGGCTTTGCCAGGGATGGGGTTGCCCTGAATTACCCCCAGCACCTTGTCGTGTGTGGGAAGACAATCTGCCCCCCCACCCCCAAGGCCATCACCCCTCCGGTGAGGCAGAGGATTAAGAAGAAATATTTAGAAGATAATAGGAGAAATATTTTTAGAGGCACCAACCAACTCAAAACCAGGCACTGGAGAAGGATCTACAGCTCCCTCCGAGGAGGGAAGGAGATGGGAAGCCCTCTAAGGACAGCCAAGGGGCTCATCCTCAGGGACAGCAGTCCTGGGATTTGGGGATGGCCTGAGATGGATGTGGCCAGCTCCTGCAGCCCTGGGGAGGGGGAGATGCCATCTCCTGCTGGGCTTTGCCCGGCCCCATGGATGGGAACCAACTGCATGGGAGCTGCTGACTCTGTGCATCCCATCGCTGTGCTCTCCTGCACCATGTGTGGCTACTCTTGCCTCCGAGCACCAAAAACCCACCATCCCTCAGGATATTTTCAGGCTGGATGGATATTCAGCCCCTCTGCACAGGCTGGTTCAGGATCCAGCCTCTCCCATGCCCCCTGCAACCCTCCAGCCACCATCAGAAGGTGGCATTAATTAATGGTTTCTCCCGAGATGCTGGTAAAGCCACTAAAATCTCAATTAAAGGCAGATGCATCGGAGGAGCGATGCTTGGAGCTCCTGGACCGCGTTGACAAACACCCTCAGCACCCACCCAGCCCCAGCCGTGCCCCCTGCCCAGGGCTCAGGGTTCCAGTGTATGCCCAAGACCTTGCCCAAGACCTTGCCCAAGGTCCCCAGCATGGGACCCACCTGCGCACTTGGTGCGGCTGATGAGGGGTGGCCCCGGTTTGCCGGTGCCCCCCTCGCCGGGCCGGGTGAGCAGGACACTGATCTCATATTCCGTGTCAGGATCCAGGTGCCAGAGCTTGTAGGTCTGCATGTTGACGGCGTGGACCTCCGACCAGGGCCCCGAGGTCATGCGGTACTCGATCTCCTTGCGCACGATGGGGCCGTCGCCGATGATGGAGTTGGTGTTGAGTTGGATGATGAGGTAGGTGGAGCCTGCCCGGAGCAGCTGGGGGGGTGCGATGGGTGTGGGGGGCTCTGGAAGAGAAGAGAGAAGGGGTAGGTGGAGCATCCCCCTCCAGAAGTAGCTCCACGTCATCCCTAGCCCTGGAGCCAGGCTAACACCAGCACAACCACGGGTACTACAATTTTATTTTATTTATCACTAGCTACAGTCAAGATATTCATGTCTGCGATGATGGGCTGGAGCCCCTCTGCTGGGAGGGGGGGCTGAGAGAGTTGGGGGGGTCCAGTCTGGAGAAGAGAAGGCTCCGAGGAGACCTTTGAGGCCCTTCCAGTCCCTCAAGGGGCTCCAGGAAAGCTGGGGAGGGACTCTGGATGAGGGAGGGGAGCCCTAGGAGGAGGGGGAAGGGTTTGACCCTGAAAGAGGGGAGATGGAGCTGAGATGTGGGGAAGAACTTGTTTGGTGTGAGGGTGGTGAGAGCCTGGCCCAGGTTGCCCAGAGAAGCTGTGGCTGCCCCATCCCTGGAGGGGTTCAAGGGCAGGTTGGAGGGGGCTTGGAGCAACCTGGGCTGGTGGGAGGTGTCCCTGCCCAGGGCAGGGGGTGGCACTGGGTGGGCTTTAAGGTCCCTTCCAACCTGAACCATTCTATGATTCTATTATCATCTCTTCCCAAACAAACCCATCCCCCTTGCACTGCAGAGCGTGGAACAAACTCGGATCCCCCTCCCAGAGGACATGGGGATCGGCACCAAAGCATGAAGAAGACACCCTCCAGTCTTCAAACTTCAGGCCATGCATGTGCCCTGCATCGCTCTTAGTGAGGCTTCATCAGATCAAACCTTAATTATCTTTATAAGATACGCTGGCCAGCATGGTGCTGCAGTTTCATCATAATTAATTAATTCCCACCTACTGCAATCAAAAATAAATTATCTAAGGCCACCACGAAAGGTAGTTTCCTTGTTTTATGCTGAACCATCCACGTGTAGCAACTCATTCCTAGTGAGAAACTGTGATACCACCACCCTGAGCATCCCACCTTCCTCTTCCTCTCCAAGCACCGGACCTGAAATAGCCCACCCAGAGACCCGGTGGCCAACAGCAAGTCACCCACCTTTCACGATGAGCTCGGCGAAGTTGGAGACGCCCGAGCCACGGCTGGACTGGGTGACGCAGCGGTAGAGGTCCTGCTCCTCCTTGGTCACCTCGTCCAGCTGGAAGGTGGCCAGGAAGCGCCGGTGGCTGATGTGCTTCACGGAGGCCGCAGGGACCACCTCACCACTCTGCCTCTGCCCCACGGGGAGAGAAAAGATGTCACCAAGGGGCACAGCGTGACATCCAGAGCCACTAAATGTGTCCCCAGATGATGCCTGCTTAAAAAAGCAGGAGGGATTGCCCTTCTCCTCCCTTCCCAGGGGTGTCTTCTCCCAAAGGGAAGGCACAGAGGTAAATGTGTCCCCAGATGATGCCTGCTTAAAAGGAGGTGTCCCGGGGGTGTCTTCTCCCAAAGGGAAGGCCCAGAGGCGTTGCATGGGGTTGGTGGTGGAGATGCTGGTTGCTCACCTGCATGAGGAACCTCTCGGCCTCGGCGGCCTTGCCAGCAGCCACGCACTGGAAGGTGGCATTCTGCCCCGCGTTGACCTCCACGTCCCCCAGGCGGGAGAAATGAGGAGCTTTCGCTGTCGAGGGAGGCAAACGTTGGCATCGCTGCAAAAAACCCACCACAGCCCAAAAACCCACCCGGGATGCTGGGGCTGGAGCTGAGCTCTGGATGGGCTCGGTCTCCATCCTCCCAACCCAGCCAAGATCCCTTCCCAAGCCCACGGGGAAGATCCTGGGCAGGATCCCGAGCCTGGAGTCAGGGATGTGTCCCCGAACAACCAGCTGGTCTCTTTGGGAATGCAGCCTTCCCCTCCAGCATCCCGCAGCGCTGGTGGGGTGATAGAGGAGGTCAGACCTCCCACCCCAGCCTAGAACAAAAAGGGGGTGAACCCCAAGAGCCAACGTGTTGGGACAGCCTGGGATTTCAGGTCCCTGCTGGCCCAGGTGGCCCCTCTTGATGGGGACACTCTGGCCACATATTCAGTCTGTGCTCCTCCAAGGTTTTATAAAAACTGAAGCAACATTGGAGCTGGTGGGGATGGAGATGGAAAAAGGAGCCTCAGAGGTACCCAGGAGATGGAGCTCCACCAGCCCAGGTGACGACAGGACACCCAGGTGATGACAAGACACTCAGGTGCCACCAGGCTGCACCTCGGTCCGTCAGCTCTCCCCAGGACCATCCCAACGGGTACCAGCTCCCAACCTGGTTGCCCAGCCCAGCAGCACCCACCACCCCGATGCCACCCACCCCCGGGTCCCATCCCCTGACACTCACAGCACGGATAATTCAAGAGCAAAATGTCATCCAAGCCAAGATAACCCCTGCGCTCGCTGGAGACCACCGCCTCGAAGAGGACCTGCGGCACCAAACAGAAGGGGTCACCCATCACCAGGGTGGTGGGTCTGGGTCTGGGTCACCCAAGGAGGTGTGTGGGGAGGTCTGTGCCATGTGAGGTTGGGGGGTCTGCTGGGGCTCACCTGGTACTCGTTGGGCCAGAACAAGCTGACGGCCAACTCCGCCTGGTGCCACTGGCGGCCATGGGAGCCGGAGGCGTTCCAGACGGCGCTGCCCACCGGGCCCCCCGTCACCCGCACGTAGGCACTGAGGGTGCCAGGGCTGTGCCCGTCCCGGCTGTACATGAAGTAGCTGAACTGGAGGCAGTGGGTGTCATTCTCGCTCAACGCTTGGAAAAGCAGGTGAGCTTTCTGGCCCGGGGCGTGCTGCGAGGAGTTCACCATCAGGTAGGAGCCTGCGGTGGGAGGGAGAAGGTGGGGGGAGAACATGGAGTCATCCCACTTGGTTCTGCATCTCCTGAGCTTTGCCAGCAGGGATGGAGAAGGTGGAGGATGCAGGACTGGGGGCATTCTGGGCATGTTGAGTTTGGAGAAGAGGAGGCTGAGGGGGAGACCTCATTGCCTTCTACAGCTCCCTGAAAGGAGGGTGTAGAGAGGTGGGGGTTGGCCTCTTCTCCCAAGGGAATTCAGACGAGAGGAAATGGTCTGAAGCTGGGGCAGGGGAGGATTAGATTAGATATCGGGAAGAATGACTTAACTGAGAGGGTGGTCAGGCCCTGGAACAGCCTGCCCAGGGAGGTGGTGGAGTCACCATTCCTGGAGGGATTTAAGAAACGTGTTGATGTGGCACTTCAGGGCATGCTCTAGTGCCTGAGATTGTTGGGTTGTGTCTCTGGTCCTCCCAAGGAGACAACTGGGTGTGTGTTGGTTTGGGTTGTGTGGGTTGTTTTTTTTTTTGGGGGGGGGGGGTTTTTTGGTTTGTTTTTTTTTGTGGTTGGACCCGATGGTCCCAAAGGTCCTTTCTGACCACGAAGATTCTGTGATTCTGTGAATGCAAATGGGGGGAACAACCCAGCAACGATGCTGGGGTCCCACCAGGTACCGATCCATGCCGGCCATGGGGGGACACAGGACAGGAACCAGGGATGGCATCAGCGTTGAGTGCCTTTTTGGGCAGCAGCAGGACATGGAAACGGGACCCGACCACCGGAGGAGGCAGGAAGGATCGCAGAACGGTGTGGGTTGGAAAGAACCTTAGAAATCATCCCATCCCAACCCCCCTGCAACAATCAGACCCACTGCCTCCAGGATAAGCAGATCATAGAATCATAGAATCATAGAATTGCCCAGGCCAGAAGGGACCTCCAAAGGCCATCTAGTCCGACCCCCCCGCAGTCAGCAGGGACACCCCCAACTAGACCAGGGTGCCCAGGGCCTCGTCGAGCCTCTCCTTGAATATCTCCAGGGAAGGGGCCTCAACCACCTCCCTGGGCAACCTGTTCCAGTGCTCCACCACCCTCACAGTGAAGAACCCTCTCCTCATCTCCAGTCTAAATCTGTTCCCCTCCAGCTTGAAGCCATTGCCCCTCGTCCTGTCACTGCAGGCCTTTCTAAACAGGCTCTCCCCAGCCTTCCTGTAGCCCCCTTCAGGTACTGGAAGGCTGCTATTAGGTCTCCCCGGAGCCTCCGCTTCTCCAGGCTGAACAACCCCAGCTCCCTCAGCCTGTCCTCGTAGCAGAGGTGCTCCATCCCCCTGATCATCCTCGTGGCCCTCCTCTGGACCCTCTCCATCAGGTCCATGTCCTTCTTATATTGAGGGCTCCAGACCTGCACACAATACTCCAGGTGAGGTCTCACCAGAGTAAAGTGGCAGAATCCCCTCTCTGGACCTGCTGGCAACGCAGCTTTTGATGCAGCCCAGGATGGGATTGGCCTTCTGGCCTGCAAGTCCCCACTGCCTGCTCATGTCCAGCTTCTCATCCACCAGAACCCCTGGAAGCCGTACTTATGGGGCAGGCAGGATGGAAATCCCAAAAGAGATCCCAAAGGCAGCATCCTTCCCTGTCCCCATGTTCAATCCCAGCCAGTCCGGAGGCAGGAGGGGGATGCAGGAGTCTCCCAGCTCTTCCCAGAGCCGTATGGGACACGGGGAGGATGAGGAGATGCCCCATCAAACCCTCCCCATCACCAAAGGCGGGGGGATTATTAATATGGCTTTCATTTTAATAACAGCAGAAGCTGTAAGTAACAAAGCTGGGCCATTTATTCAAGTCTACCATTGTTTTCCTGACAGTAGGTGCTTAATTATTAATAGCTTTCACCGCTGGTTAATTTCAATGAATTCAAACGCTTTCCTCCCATTGGCTCCAAGTGAGAGGAGGCTGAGAAAAGCCAAACGAAGGCAGTAGGGGATTGTTGGAGGCACCCATCTGTCCCCCCCAGCGTTTGGGAGCTGTGCCTGGGGGACCCCAAAATGTCTGGGGGGACCTCGGAACACCCAGGGGATCACGGCATCGGCTGTGGAGATGCGGTGCCGGGTACCACAGCATCCTCCAGTGCATCCCTCAGAGATGGGAGCTGGGGCAGGGGAAAGAAATCACCAAAAAAGCAGAATATTCACCCCGTCGTCGATGCGTGCGACCGCCCGGCCCCCGCAGGCAGATATTCAGGGTGAAATAAAACGGTAGCAATTTATTTTCTCAGAATCAAGCGCAGCCACATCTCATGGCCAGAGGGGAAGGCACTATGTCCATACTCCTTCTATTGTTTTGTGGGTTGTTGGTTTTTTTTTTAATCCTTTCATTTCCTCCAGCAAAATTATTTCTGCACTAATGAGAGCGGCTCCATTTGGTCCAGGCAATGGCTGTGGAGAACGAAGGCCACCCCGCGCCAGGGGACATCTCCCAAAAGCCACCTCAGATCTGCCGGGCTCTCATTAACAGACACAGACCCTTTCTTCCTCCCCCAGCTTTGAAAACAAAAAGCCAGAGGACCAAAATAAAGAGGCCAAGGCTAAAATTAAACCACTGACAAGTTATTTTAAAAGACAGAGGATGTCCATTAAGGTCAGCTGGGACCACGGACACGAAGGGGTGACAACCCATTGGTGCAGTGCTCACCTGGCAGGGTTTCCCCCACCTGCTATTTTTTCCCCCCTTAATTTTCCTGCCAGCGTTGTTGTATGGGAGAAACCAGGTTCCCACCACTGGCTTTTGTGCTAATTATATCCTCCTCCCCCATAGATGACTGGTCCCAGCTTCAAGTCCAAGGTAGGGTATGGGTTGGGTGTTTTTTTAATGCAGGAGAAGGAGAGGGACTCATCCCTGTGCTTCCGTGCTGCATCCCACACCGGAGCATCCCCTGGCACAGACAAGGTGTCTGGGGGTTACAAACTCCCTCAGCAGCCCCCCAGGCCTTGTAGGGGGGGATGACACCCAGCTGGTGAGGAGGGGGTGACACCCTGCACACACACTGCCACCACCCATGGGGGACAGGTCACCAACCTGCTTGTCCCTGGTCTCTTGATCCAGCTGGGATGCTGCCAGGGGGTATTGGGGGGGGCAAGGGGGCTGCACAGCCCCTCCCAGGGCAATACAGCAAGGATCTGGGGGTCTCCCAGACCCTGTTAATCCCATACCAGGGTTCTCCCTTGTGCCCCCCACCCCACTGGGTGCTCAGCTCCCACCAGGATCTCAGCCAGGGCGAGAGCAGAGCTGCAGCAAGAGCCCTGCAAACCACCAAATCCCAGTTTTTCAAGCTCAGCTTCATCCCTGCCAGCAAAGCTGGAGATGGGGATGGAGATGGGGAGGAGGGGGTGTCCCAGAGCTGGAAAGGGGGGGGACAGGCAGGACCAGTCCCGGCAGCTGGAGACTGATGCAATATTGGAGCTCACTGGCACAGGGAGGGTTATTTTTGAGCCTTGGCCACGTGCTGGCATTACACAGCAAAAACCTGCCCCAAAAGTCACGATGAGGAAAATCATTCCCAAATTCCCTACGAAATGGGAGGCGCAGAAACAGCCCCGGGGCATCCCCCGGTTGAGATCCCAAACCAAAGGAGGGGGATTGATACATCGATACCATGTTTTGCTCATTAAATCTTTTCCTCTGTTCCTCAATTAAAAGTCTGTTTTAATGGAGATGCCAGTCCAGGGGAGCTGTCACCCCCCTTTGTCACCGTGAGTAACAAGTCAGCCCCCCTGTGTGCCCCCCCCCACCTCACCTGCACCTTTGTAATTTAATTGAACTTTCAGGTGGGCTTTTTGGGAAGAGCCCAAGTGCTCTGTGGAGAAAGAGGAGAGACTCAAAAAGCACTAGATAATATTTCAATCAAAGAAATGAAAAGAGAAACAAGTTTCCAGTGACATTCCCTGAGGAAAAAACATCCATTTGCTTTGCAAAAGTCAACAACGAGGTTTAAGTTCCAAAAATCAGGGCGGACAGGCACAGAAAGCCTTGTATCCATCCCAGCAAAGTCCTCAGGAGGGGTCTCCAGCCAAATTTTCCCACTTTGGGATTCAAATCAGGTCTTGGAGGATAATCCAGCACCTCCGATAACCCCGGCTGTGAATCGGAGAGCAATGAGCTTCTGAGGATTTTCTCCCCAGCCAGGGGAGACATCCACAGGGATGGAGCAGCTCTCCCCATCCCGAGGGTCCTGCCTGCATCCCCCCGGGAATGACCCAGCTCAGCAAGGAGAGGAGGGAAGAACACACTCCCCCCCCTTCCTCCCCGTCTCGCCAAGGTTTTCCTCCTACGAAACCACCGAGAGATAAAAATAATTCATTTTTTTTAAAATATATATATATATAAAATAAAATCGAAGAGCTATTAAGAGGCAGGAAAAGGCAGGCAGGATGACAGGCAGAGGGCGGCCCCGCCAGCCAAGAGGTGCCAGGGGACCAGGTCTGAGCTGCAGCGTCTGCCTCCAGGAAACCTCTTTGGAAGACGGAGCCCGACGGTTGGTGCCTCCTCACACGTCGGTTTTTCCTTCTCAGAGCCACCATCAGGAAGGGGGTACCCCCTCCCCACTCCTGTACTGAGCCCCAGGACCAGCATCCCCATCACCGACAGCTCATCTCCCACCACCACAGGCTCCTTGGACCAACCGGGGTAGAACCAAACTGAGTCATTCCCCCAGGAGCCTAAAATTAAGCTTAATTTTTAAATTTTCATGCTTTTTTTTTTTAAGGATACACAGCAGGAGGTGGTCAGGAAGCCGTGGCAGATCTATCAGCTGAAGGAGAGACTCCTTGGAGGGGACAGAGGGACATCAGAGCTCATCAGGGTGGGGACAAGGGCTCGGTCACCCCCCGACACGGCCACGTTGGGGCATCGCAAAGCAGCGACGTGGGGAGCAGGAGGGCACGGGGGGAAGAGCCAAGCAGGGAAAAGAGACCCCAATTCACAGAGGGTCTTCTAATGGCACTGAGACTGGAAGGAAAACTTAGG